TCCTGTATGGCAATCATGAATCCTTCCGTCTCCCCAAAGAGGCATCCCCGATCTAACCAGCTGTTTGACGCAGTTTTGTCAACAAAATCCTGGGCCAGGTCGTAAGGATGCCTGCCATGGAGAGCCTTTTGAGCCCATGATTGCTTAATGTTGTCTATGCTTTTTATATGTTGTGTCATGTCTGTGTGTTGTGAGTGTAAGTTTAATGGTGTGTTATTTGAGTCTGCTAGAGTTACTGCTTTATGTAACTGTGATTTTTCTTGTTTCCTGTAGAAAAACTCTCGCAGTAACTGTATTTGTTTGTAGCGAAGGTTAACTATGTCAATCAGGCCACGTCGCCATCTTTACGTGGAGGGGTTAATCTTCCTATGGCGGATTTAGGATGATGATGTTTATGCTTAGTAAGCGTTGTTCTTGTTTTCCTTTGGAGTTGCTCAAGATTTGTGTGAGTCCAATGTATAACTCCAAACGAGTATGTGAGTACAGGGACGACATATGTGATTATTGCTTTAACTGTGTGTTTTGCATTTAACTGTGTTCTGAGGATAGCGTTTAACCTACTTTGGTATTCTTTAATTAATCGTTGCTTTATTTGTGTATGTTCTGTTAGTTTGGCCTGTTGGAATCCTAAGTACTTGTAGAACTCGCCCTCTTCCATGGATTCAATAACGTCTCCATTTCCAAGTGCAAAATCTTCTTTCTTCAGGATTCCTTTTTCTATGTGAAGTTTTTTGCATTTGTCTAAGCCAAACTCCATTTGTATGTCCTTAGTGTATGAATGTGTGATTTGTAGGAGTTGATGAAGTTGTTTTTGTGTGGATGCATAAAGTTTTATGTCGTCCATGTACATGAGATGTGACAGTGTAAACTGTGTTGTTTTTTCATGTCTGATATTGTAGCCATATTGCGTGTTGTTTAACATGTTGGATAATGGATTCAGGGCTAGGCAGAACCAGAGAGGACTCAAGGAATCTCCTTGAAAAATTCCTCGCCTAATGAATATTTCGTTTGTTTGTATGGAAGTGTTACTAACCCTGAGATGTAGTGTTGTTCTCCAGTGCTGCATAGTGTTTTCGAAGAATGCAATGAGTGATGGATGTATTTTGTACATGTGTAGAATATGTAGCAGCCAACTGTGTGGAACACTGTCGAATGCTTTTCTGTAGTCTATATATGCCATGTGTATGTTTCTGTGTTGTTTGTGTGCTTGCCGTAGAATGACTGAATCTATGAGTAACTGTTCTTTGCATCCCCTGTGATTTCTACGGCAACCTTTTTGTTGTTCTGTAAGAATGTCGTGTTCTTCAACATGTTTGTATATTTTGTTTGTGATACAGGATGTCAATAATTTGTAGAGTGTTGGAAGACATGTAATTGGTCTGTATTGTGTGGGGTCTGTGGTTTTGTTGTTTTTAGGTTTCATGTAGGTAATGCCCCGAGTAAGAAATTTTGGCATGTCTTGTGGATTGATGATGATGTGTGTTAGATGTTTAGCTAGTTCCTGGTGCAGTGATGTAAACTTTTTGTACCAGAAATTGTGAATGTTGTCTACACCAGGTGTCTTCCAGTTGTGTGTTCTGTTAACAGCGTAGCGAATGTCGTGTATGTTTATTTCAGCACAGGGCATACTTGGTATGTTATGCAAGTTTCTGTTCTCCTCCTTGATCCAGCCTGCATCAGCATTGTGTGTAACAGCATTGGACCAAAGAGAAGACCAATAAGTTGTGAGTTCTTCTTCTGTTGGTGTGCCACTGTGCTGTGTATCAGTGTTTGTTTTGGTACTGATTTGTCTGTAGAAAAGTTTTTCATTGTTTGTGAATAATTTATTTTGTTGTTTTCGTAGTGTACATGTTTTGTATCGTTTGAGTCTACGTGCTTTGGCTGCGAGTTTTTGTTTTAGTGTATCGATGTATTCTGTAATGTGTGTGTTGTGATGTTCATGTTTTGTGTGTGTTTTGATTTTCTTGAAAATGTTTTTGAGTTGTTTCTTTAATTTGGGTGTTATGTTGTTTTTAGTGTATTGTGTCAGCCTGCCTAATTGCTGTCTAATGTCATTTATTTGTGTTTCTATTCTTCTCTGCCAGGCAGGCTTGTGATAGAATTGTGTTTTGTGTGTGTCTGTCTGTGATTGTATTTTCAGTCCATGGTGTGTTACTACTGTGACTGCCCCAGCATAAACTAATGTATGAATGTCTGAGAGTGTAGAAATTGAATGAATGTAGTTTGGTAGTAAGTGAGTGTTTACATAATTTAGTGTTTTTCCTACTACCTTTGACGTGTTGATTTTCGGTATTCGTGGTCTTTGTGTGGGATCTGTGCCTGTATATTTAGTGAGTGTTTCTTGAAATATAAGTGAGAGTGTATTAACTAATTCTATGTCTAAGTTATCAGTGATGGACGAGGAAGTGTCTGTAGTATGATTAATGGTAGTTGTTGTATGTGTACTATTATCAATGCTTGTTGCTGGATTAACCTGACAGGTTACGTAATCTTCATTAATAATGTTAAATGTTTCTGTCTGTTGGTGTATTTGATCAGCAAGCTGCTGTTTGATAAGTTCAAGTGTTGTTTGTGGGATAAGGTTGTTGTGTATAATTGTTCTTTTTTGATGAACAACCCTTTGTTCGGTGACAGTGAGGTGAGGATATTGTTGTGTAAATATATGGTGTAGTTGTTGTCTGTATGCTGTCATGTTTGTTTCGAGTCTTGTGATGGGTTGTCCATTTCATTTGTTGGTGTGGTTTTCCAGCCTTTGTGGTTTGTGGATGCATTGCCACATAAACACCAAGGCTAGGTTTGTTCCTCACATTTGTTGAGGGCATTGCAGTAGTCATGCTTGGGCATTGCAGTAGCCATGCTTGGTTACTACTTTCGCCATCAGTAACCAAGGGAGGCTGTGGCCTATTTTTCAAACGTGAGCCTTTGCCTAACCCACGAATGCTGACCTTGTTAACACGGACAACGTCCGAGCCGGTATCACACTTTGATCTGGTTACTATCATGATAAATATCTCCACAGAATGTGGTGTGGTCACTCTTAGCTTCATTTCTCCCCGTAGACCTTACTGGCATGGGTGTCTCTACCAGGAGCTTGTGCTCCAGCCTGCATTGCTCTATGGTTCAGTAAAATTACTGGGCTCTCCCACCAAGACCAGGTGGTGACCACGGGAGAGTTATTATTATTATTATTATTATTATATTATTATGTGTTGGGTTTAGTGGGTTATACTCGGTACAAACCGGTGGCTGTGTACTATGCCGGACCAGAGTCAAGGCATAGCAACCAAAACAAAACTAAAATTAAATGTGTGTGTCAGTGTCTGTATTAAGGAATTTCCTAACAATATGGCATGTATTCAATATAGTGGCCTTCTGTAGTGTGATGTATGTATTTCTACTCAATTGTAATGTTCCCAGGCTTTTGTGTAGCGTGTGTGGTATCACACCTGTACAGGAGAGAACGACAGGTACAATAAGCACCCTATCCATCCTCCACAGATGCCTGATTTCCTGGGCGAGTTCTGTGTACTTGCTAATTTTTTCAGTGCATGTGTTTTGTACATTGTGAGTGTTTGGAATGGCTATGTCTATAATGTATGTGATTTTATTGTGTTTGTCAATGAGTGTGATGTCTGGTCTGTTGTGGTAAATTGTTTTATCTGTGATTATGGCTCTGTCGTAATACATTTTGTGCGTGTTATTTTCCAATACTGTCTGTGGAATATACTTGTAGTATGGTTCGTGGATGTCTGCCAATTTGTGTTTCTTTGCAAGCTCTTGGTGTATTATATTTGCTACTTGATTGTGTCTCATTATTATTATTATTATTATTATTATTATTATTATTATTATTATTATTATTGTGAACCGCCAGGAAGGTTGGAGGTCTCCCTTTCCAGTGACAGGTCGTTAAACCTGCTCACTGTCAAGATGGCTTAAATGTTTCTTCTTCCCTTTCCTGCGGTAACGAGATTTAATTGTTCGGATCGAGTGGAGGAGGGAGGAGTGTGTTATATGAATTCCATGTTGTATGAGTCACTTAGATTTTACAAATACGTGAGCCGTTCACAGCCCGGGACACGTATTTGTAAAATCTAAGTGACTCGTACAACATGGAATTCATATAACATGGAATTATCTACAGTGTTATGGGGGTCTACTGTACACACTGTCATTGCAAAAAGAAGTGTTCCATGAATAAATGCAGTTGTAAAAGCAAGGGACTCAAAGTGCCATAACAGTTTAAGTTATTGCAATAAATAAGATTGTACAACGTCAATCACATAATTTATGTGTAAGTTTATTATTGTATTTTTTCTTTAATGATTTAGAACATACTGTTTATTTTAGGTTCAACAGTTTATTTACATGTGCCATTACTTAAGCTTTCTCCTATTTTGACATATTAAAAAGTTGCAGTTTTGTCTTAACGTAATAAAAATATTTTTATTCAACATTCACCATCAGTGCATGCTGAATGTCAACATTTGCTGGTGTAAGTGAGAAATGATGATATTTAGCAAATATTTCGACTGTGTGAATGCTGACATACACCGAAGAATGTTGATATTCGCCAGATATTGGTCATTCACATACTTAAGATATTGGTGAATGACCAATATCTTAAGTAAAGTAATAAGTATATTAAACAAATCCAAGCCTTATTTATATATATAAGGCTTGGGTTTGTTTAATATACTTAGAGCTGAAGTAGTTACATTGTGTTGTTTTACTTAAGCTGAATCTCATAAAAATTCTGTTACTGTAGAGTATTTGAATTTTTATGAGATATTTATTCATAAATAATTTATGGAATTTTTACTGAATTGTTTCAACTGTGTTCTTGATTATATTTTTATAGGAAGAAAAATTTTAATTTTCTAAAATCAAAAAATGATTTTAAAATATTTATAATTGTAATTTTTTAACTTCTTTTAATAGAAAATATTAAATATTTTTATTTATTAAAAAATATATTAAACATGTATCATATTTTACAGGCTTCTTGTATTCAACAGCCTGTGAGATGTTTGAACATTCATGAATTTCAGAGCAAACAGTTAATGGCAGATAATGGAATTCAAGTTCAGCGTTTTAAAGTAGTTGATTCAATTGAACAAGCGGATCTTATTGCTAATACATTTGGTAAGGTTTTGTCAACATTTAAAACTCAAAAGCTAAGTATAATTTAACTTATTTTAAACATGAAATATTTAAAAGTTGGGTGGTAGTTCTGTTGTCTTTCCTTGTTGGATAAAATAATTAAAACTACATAAACCTTATTTATATGTAACTAGAGACAAAAACAGTAAAGTTCATTATCAGTAGACAAAACAAAATTCAGAAAATTTAAAAACTGGAAAGTGATGACAGGAAAGTACAGGAAATTATATAAATACTAATACAGGAAAGTATATAAATAAATACAAGTACAGGAAAGTATATAAATACTTTCCAGTACTTGTATTTGTTTATATACTTAGCAAGTACAGGAAAGTATATAAATACTTTCCTGTACTTGCTAAATTTTGCTGAAAAGAGTAAACTAATGAAAAAAAAATATTCTTATTTCAAATTAGCATGTCCCAACTCAACCTGACTTCATTTGAAAAAAAGAAAGTTCATAAGTTATAATTTCTTAATTATTTTATTATATACAATTGAATTCTTTCTAAAGAAAAAGTATTTTTATTTAAAATTTAATATTCAAGATTTGATTACAGATAAGATAAAATCTGAACCAAAGATGGTCATCTCATGTATGACCCCTTTTTTATCATGTTTATGAACTGTGAATTGAATAATTTTATCACTCTTTAAGTTGACAGATTATCACAAAAATTATTTTTTTCAGATTTATTCCATGTGACGGTGTTTTATTTTATTTATTTTTTTTCTCAAATATTTCCAGTTTGTTACCTAATGACAAGAAACCATGCAAATAGGAGTTTAACTCCCTATTCGGACAGAATAAAAAATGAAATAAAAAAAAAATAGAAAAAAACCCATAACTTAGTTTATTCATTTTTACAATACATGTTATAAAAAATTTACCATATTTACTCGCATAAAAGAGGATCTCACATATAGGATGAGGTGCAACTTTAAAGATCAAAATAAAGAAAATTAGATTTATTAATACAATTCTAATTTTATTTCATTTAATCACAAATAAAATATTAAATAAACGTAAATGCACACATTGTCCTGCAAGAATTACTGGCATTTTAAACTTTAAGGAAAAATCTTGTAAAATCGACAACATAATTTATTTGTGTAAAACTGGACAATTGGAAACCTTTTTTGCCAATTCTTAACAGTCGAATCCACTCTCTGTTGATTATACTTATGAGTTTCTCTGAATTCTGATTTCCAAATAATCATATGTTTTCACGTGGGAATGGATTAAAACTTATATCGGACTCCCATGTGATTCTGGAATTTCAATCTGGAATCCAATTGAAAAGCTTTGCTATTCCTATTGCTATTCATCTTTACTCCTGACAATACACAAGAATGATTCAAATGACCCAGATAAAATACTTTGTTTTTAAACACGAGGGTGAGCATCCAGTAAAAAATGTGAATACATGGTTCATAAAAATTATTTGCAAAAACGCAAAGAATTTTTTGTTCACACATATAGGATGACCTAGGTTTTTTAAGCAGTGAAAAAATGAATAAAAACCTCATCTTATATCTGAGTAAATACAGTATATATATTTTTAAATACTATCCTTTGAAAAACCTACATGTGGGCTTGGTTAGTGACAGATGGTTATTAATGTTTACTGCAATATACAGATTAAAAAGACACAACACCTTTTAGTAATATATAAAAGTTTTTATATATTGCCAATGTTTTTGACCCAGTTGACAGGATATGTACTAAAATGGAACCTTTATAACTGCTCTTTTTTTAGTGTACCTAAAATGATATATTAACTAGGTTAAAAATGTTAGCAAAACATATTGTTAAAGACCAGTTCATACATTTTGAGAACAGAAAAGAGAAGAGAAAACAACAGCATTTGTGCATTACTAAAGACATACTAACCTTCTCTTATGGTTAGTGAGAAAAGTCAACAGAAGTTTTACTTTTCTTTCTGTTGGTAGCCCACAATCTTTTGCATCTTTAAACTTGAGAAAATTGAATGATAAGAACTAGATCAGAATTATCTTTGATGAATTGTAATCTATCATTTATTATATACAGCATTTTAAAGTAATCAAATTGAATAGATATTATTTTTACATATACAGTAAATTTAAAACTTATCTGAAATATTATAAATGCATTTTGAGATAATCTTCCTTAATTTATTTTATAAGATTTTATAATTTTATATATAAATATAACCTTAATCTAATATAATCTTGTATATAAATATTATAATCTTTGTTCTCTCTTCTCAAATTAAAAAATGAGATTACATGCAGATAATTAACAATTTTACAACTCTAAAATAAAGTCTTGAAAGCATATCTAACTTCAAATACTGAAAGCACATGAATGTTTCTTTCATTTGTTTGAAGTATGAACAATTATGGGAAGAGAATAATAAAAAAGAGAAGAGACATTCTCCTCTCTTTTTCATTCTCAAAGAATATGAACTGGCTTAATGGTATTGTGTCTAGTTAATACTATTATTTTACAGTACTATTATATACAGGGTTTGTTCAATAAGTATTATAACTGAATTTTTCCTGTATAATGGGAAGGGGTGGAGGACAGTTTCTGTGGGCGGGTTTGATGGTGAGAATGTCATGTAAGCTATGAGACCCAACTCAGTTGTCTCCAAGCCTTTGGAGTGTGTAGATCGCACCCAAAGTGAAAGTGTGTTTAGTGCTCATGTTGAGAATCAAGATGCAGAAAACGTTTTACCATCAAATTTTGCGCTTAATTGAACAAATCTGCTACTGAAAGTTTGGATATGATCCATGAGGCTTACGAGGATGAAGCCATGTCCAGAATGCATTGTTTTTGAGTGGCGTAAAAAATTCAAAGACGTTGAAGATGAACAATGCACTGGATATCTGACAGTGACCCGAACCAATGAAAATGTGGCTAAAGTGCAAGAACTTTTCAAGATTAGGGTCTGCCATGTCCGAAGGAGATCATTGAAAGATGGATGTTCCATCACAACAAATTGTCGCTAAGTCACATGTTGCTAATTATGAGGGAAGCATTGGCCATATACAATATGTCAAAACTATCAAAATGTGTCAAACTGGCCATATACAATGTGTCAAAAATAGGGTGGTTGGCACCCTACAGTCCAGATGTGGCTTCCTCCAACTTTCTTTTTGTTCTTTCGTATCGAGGAGCCTGAAAGGACATCGTTTCGGGACGATTGAGGCAGTCCAAGTGGCTTCGACGGGGTGACTGAACAGCCTTTTGGTTGCTGCCCTCCAGGAAACATATGAAGACTAGAAAAAGTATTGGCTGCAGTGTAATGATGAAGGAAGGTTATATTTTAAAGATTATTAGCTCAGTGTACATATATCTTCAATAAATTTTTTTTATGACTTCAGTCCTGATACTTATTGGACAAACCCTGTATGTTATAAATCTCTTAAGTGATTTATTAGGTAATATTATTATCAAGAAGCTAGTTTTATTTATTACTTCCTTACTACAATTCTTCCTTACTATGTTGAGTTAAAGATATGTTGTACTACCCTTGTACAGCTTTGTAGGTACTACTAAAAAATGTAACACAAACATTTATGACCCATTTCTAGGGTCTTCCTCAGGTGTTCTATAATTTTTTTTTTCTGATGCAATTTTGATTTTTAACCATTTTTAACAGCACCAGGAAAAAAAATTATAGAACACTTGAGGAAGACCCTAGAAGTGGGTCGTAAATGTTTGTGTTACGTTTTTAAGTAGTTACTGCAAAGCTATACAAGGTTAGTACAATGTATCTGTAATTATCACTTTGTTTATTAGATGGATTTGATTGAGTTAAAGAATTAATAATTATAATAATAGTGAAGCAATTTGAAATGAAATGAAGGTTCTATTTTAACATTCATTTCATTTTAAATTTGTTCCATAAAAATGAATGAATATGAAAACCAATAAATGTTATTAATGTCATTTACATTCATTTTTGATTTTTGGTATTTTAAAAATTAGTAGCATTAACAGATTCTTAAATATCAAATATAAGTCACAAAAATTTTGACATGGTTATTTAATGATTAGTTTTGTAGTTGATTCCTTAATAACTGTGTTAAGATTTGACAGTTTGAATTATAAGTTATCAATGTTCAAAAAATTAAATTTATTTAACTCTTTTAGAGAGTTTTGTATAGTAATAACCTATTTAAAAGAATACATTATTTTTTGTTATAGATGTTAAAGAATATGTAATTAAAGCACAAATTTTAGCTGGTGGTAGGGGGAAAGGAACTTTTTCAAGTGGCCTTCAGGGTGGTGTTAAATTAACAAAAAAGTAAGTTTTTCAATATATTTATTTTATTTATTGTAAAGTATGTTATTTATGCTTCTAAGAGACTACATGAAATAATTACTACTATAAAATGCACTAAATAAAAAAAATCTAGTAATTATCAATGATAATTAGTCATTGAAGAATTTGTAATTATATTTAATTTTATGTGAACTTATTTTAAGAATTTTATGTGCTTATTTAATTATAATATCTTTTGGAAAACTGTAATAGAAAAAAATTTGGCAAGAGCAATATTTTAAGTGAAATTGAGAAAGGCAGCATAAAGATTGCACAATTACATTTTAAAATGTGCATTGGTAATTACATGCAGGATGTTTTACTTAGATGTATAATAGAAAAATTTTTAGCATATACAGAGTGCTCTGCTTAGTCATATAATGAAAGGAAAATTTGTTGCATATAAAGCACTAGTGGATGTCAGTGTAAAGAGCAGCTCTGAATTTTAGTATTCTGCAGGCATGTGAACATGATCGATGCAGTTACTACTTAAAAACGTAACACAAACATTTATGACCCACTTCTAGGGTCTTCCTCAGGTGTTCTATAATTTTTTTTCCTGGTGCTGTTAAAATTGTTAAAAATCAGAATCGCATCAGAAAAAAAAAATTAAAGAACACCTGAGGAAGACCCTAGAAGTGGGTCGTAAATGTTTGTGTTACGTTTTTTAGTAGTAACTGCATCGATCATGTTCACATGCCTGCAGAATACTAAAATTCAGAGCTGCTCTTTACACTGACATCCACTAGTGCTTTATATGCAACAAATTTTCCTTTCATTATATGACTAAGCAGAGCACTCTGTATATGCTAAAAATTTTTCTATTATACATCTAAGTAAAACATCCTGCATGTAATTACCAATGCACATTTTAAAATGTAATCTCAATTTTTTAATTTTCTGTTATTAGCTTTTTGTTACTTCCAGGAATATAAATTAAAAAAGTTTATTCATTTTCAAAATTTAAAGACCGATTTATATGACAATAAAGTTCTGAAGTTTTATTGATATTTATATCTTATTTTTTTCATAGACATTAATTACCTAATATTTTTACTAAATTTTTGTGATAATTGTTAAACTCATTTATGATTTTTTTTTGTTATTTGTAAAGTTATACATTTGAAATTATTAATAAATGACATTTTATTAACACTATAAAAATTATTTCATATAAGATATTAATTTAGTATATATTTTGCACCAAAAAACAAAATATTTAATAAATTCTAGTCGTGAAGATATTGTTCCTCTTGTAGAAAAGATGATAGGTCACAAATTGAAGACGAAACAAACTACAGGAGATGGTGTATTAGTTACAAAAGTAAGTCTTAATTTGAAAAATTTTTACAGAGTAGTAATATGTAATTAGATATTTTTAACAATAGATTTTGTTGTGAAAGATCATATATATATATAAAATTTATATACTAGGTGATCATAATACTAAAGTACCTTCTTTTCAATGTTGTTTAGTGAGCTATTTTGCAATCCAAATGCAATCAGATTGGTATGGTGACATTTCAAGACATGCAGAAGATATTTCCTTAAAAAAATAGTAATAAAACTTACCCCACTATACTTTTGGCACAGCAAGCAACAAACATTTTTATTTTTACAAGACATTCATGCTCTACAGAGACCTTAGCAGGAGATGATGTTCAATATGTCCCTGTTCTGAAGGCAATGAACAATATATTCAATAACCAACTGTAATTGATCCTCTGCAATGTTTTTTACATGCATCTATTATAATATTGTCTTTTAAGGTTGTCAAATTTGCCACATTTTTGATAGACCATGCTTTTTAACACATTTTTTTTAAGAAAGTTATTTTAATATAAATTGTAATTATGTGAAAATTTAATTTTGAAATTTCTATTATTAAAAATGCCAAATTTGTTAGAAGTTATTGGCTACTTAAATTCAATTGAGTTTATGAATTAATTTTGTAGCAATTAGTGACTAAAATAATTTTACAGTCTACACTAAGTTTCAATATTTAATGTAAACTAAACCTATTTTTTCAAGTCCACAGATCATATACCTTCCTTTTTTTAATTCCTGGTATTTTTGTACTACATATATCTTCAGAAGATATTTTCCAAGTTTTGATTTAAAAAAAATTCATTCTAAATGCCAAAGTTAAATTTAAATGCAGTTTTTTTGGAAGTTGAGAAATATTTCTCAAAGATGGACATGCATAGTCCAAAATAACCAGGAATTAGACAATGAAGCTGGATGTTGAAAAAGTAAGTTTTTAGTTTATGTTAATGAAATATATCAACTGCACAACCATAAGATAATGTATCTGACGGTTGTGGCCCTGATTGACTATATTAACAATATTATTATTAAAATATTTGTAAAAAGTGAACAGCATTATATTAGACGTTGCTATTTAAAATTTATTGGTTAAACATTTTTGAAGATTTTTCTCTCACTACATTTATAATTGTTAACTTTAAGTATGTGTTATCAGGCTAAATGACAAAATAGTGATTGTATGAGGGTAATATTTCTGATATCAGTTTAAATATAATTTATTTTTCTGTCTCAGTTATGGTGATATGAATACTGAAGTTGTAGAATAACTCCTTAAGTTAGTCTAAAAAGACAGTTTTCTTAAAATTTTTATAGGAATCAAAAATAAAATATTCTTATTAAATACTTTTGAGTAAAATTTTTCTCATTCTTAGAATTAAGAGATTCCAACATATTATTAATTCACAAGAAATATCCAAATATCTACAAGCCAAATTACAATTAAGCTATTTAATATACAATCAAATAATGTAATTTGGCCAAAAGGTAACATTTTCCCACCATTTCGTGCTAAGAGTAATAGCCAGAAATTGGGCTGCAATTTGAAAAAATTGTACACCTATAAATTTCCACTGTCATCCATCTTTCCTTAATCTTGAGAACAGAGTTAGTTAGTTGAAAGATGAGACCAGATATTGAAACCTTAAGGGCAGGAAGCTTTGACTGACTATATGTGAACTTCCAATGCAAACTGGAAGTCATGTTATTTCAATTCAAAAAAATTTTCCTCTGTAAGGTGTTAGATGACTGGAATGACTCTATTGTTAAAGGAAAAGTATGATGTACAAGGGCAAGCTACTACTAATTTGAGGTGGAGAGCACATATTTTAAATTAAATACATTAAAAATATGATTAAAAATTTCTGCAATTATTGCTGCAAAACATGATTGTCTTAATAAATAATTGCTCATTTACCTTATAAAATGTATTTAAAAATAAGTAAATATTTTGAGCTAAGTTTTGAATTAAATTAATTTCTAATAAGTTAATTTTGAAGATTCTGAAAATGTTTAGATTAAGAGAAATACTAAAGAAGCATTAGTATTTCTCATGTCTGGATTAAGAGATATTTAGGATAGGAATTTTTTTTAAAAGTATTAAATAAAAGATTTTTATTTTTGACTCCTGCAAGGATTCAATAGTTACTTTACATTAAATTACTTGATATTTTCACATTTTTATGTAAAATTTGCAAAGCTGAATTCTTTTTTATTGATATTATATCTGTAATGATCTGTCCTTCTAAATACTATTATTAGAATTAAATAAAAAAAATAACTTAATATAAACAGAATAAGTTTAAGTATTGTTCTTTATTTGACAAAATTTTAAAGGTTATGATAGCTGAAGCACTTGATATTTCAAGAGAAACCTATCTTGCTATTTTGATGGATCGAGATTCAGGTGGTCCAGTTATTGTTGCTAGTCCATCTGGTGGTGTTGATATAGAAGAAGTTGCAGCAAAATCTCCAGATCTTATTTTCAAGGTAAGTAGTTTTGTAAAATTTATATTAGAGTGTAGGATGTAGAACCACAAACAAAAATGAAAAAATAAAGCAGAAATGTTTAACATGCAGGATGTTAAAACTACTTTCAGATGACATCACAACCAAAATTATGTACTGAAACTGCATTAGTATGAACAGGTGTTAATGCTTTATAGCTTTCTGCAGTTATGCTTGTTATGGACAGGTCTGATATACAATGAGAATGAATGAGAATGGTCTGATTAAGAATAAGGAATCCTGACACATCTATTCATAGTAAATTTTAGAGATCTAGGATGAATCAAACTCAATGATAGGCTGATCCTGTTGCTATCTGGCCAACAATTTTTTTAAAAATTTTATTATATAGTTGTAAACAGACAAAGGTTGATTTCCTAATAGCTAAACATCTACAAACCAGATTATTATCTCATCACATGGTAGCTAAGTGATTCACTTCCCTTTAGACCAAATTATGTAATCCAATTATTTAAATTAGTTTAATTATAGGGCAAATAAAATCACCTTGTAGGTATGTGACTTTTAAAAACTTTGGCTTTGACTGTTGTTTATATCTGTATGTAAACAATTCTGAGGTAAAGCTTAAAGTTGGCTGAGAACTGTGGAGGTTACAGATGTTCCCAATGTGGTGTTGATTAATCTGCATAAATATATGATTTAAATTAATATAAATTTGGAATTGAACATTGGATGGAAGTCAAATGTAAATATAACTGGTAAATGCATTTGCGCAGTGTGCAGAAGATTACAGATTTGGTTGTGCTTCACATCAATCTTTTCAGAATGTTCTAAATTAATTCAAAATTAATTTTTAATTACTAATCTTAATAGAAATGATGATCTAACTGCTTACTTTTAGATCAAATTACACAATTTATTTAATAAATTGTTTAATAAATACATCAGCTCAAATATGACGAAATTATTACAGAAGTTGTTTCTAGCCATTGGTATAATTATATTAATTAAATTATCAACAATCGTGAGGCAGATAATAGTAAGGGTTTATCAGACCAATGATGGGCACAAATGCTCAGGGATCAAAGTGAAAACAATTTAATAAACACAAAAAATTACTACATAAGTATGGAAACGGAAACCCAAAATTCATTTCGGACTATTTTCCCGATAGAAAATAGTACCTCACCAGTTGGTATTAACTAAAGGTAATACTATATTAAAAATTATACAAGGTAACGGTCAACTTAAAACTATGCCTAAAGCTATACAATATAAAGATGAAAATGCCGTTATAACTGTATGAGCAGTAAGCATGATCAGTGTAGACAGGTGTAATAGATCTTCATAACGTTTCATGGTGGTGTGGTGTGATGTACAGGGTGCTGATACAAAACAGTTACAAGTTAGACAATTATTGGTTTACAGTTATGAACTAAAGTTATTCAGACAGATAATGTACATACCAAAAACAGTAAGATGACAGAGTTGCAGGTGTCAGCTTACTACAAGGTGCTGGGAGTGGTAGTAATGGATGTAACACTCCACATTTGGTGCACAAGTGGTGACAACATATAATACAATTACAAGCGTGTATGAGGAACTACTTCATGATCACACACTTACATGGTGTGTTCAAAAAGTATCGGACCTTTGGTTGGCAAAAATAAATTTATTGACTTTGAGGTACAAAACCCTAATTCCCTTCAAAGTAATCTCATTGGTAATGTATACACTTCTCCCAGTGTTCCTGCCATTGCTGGAAACACTGCTGGAACGCATCTTTTGGAATGGCCATCAGCCAGTCCGTCGGATTCCGCACGATGTCTTCTCTCGACTAAATTCGGGTTCCTTTCAGAGGCATTTTCAGCTTGGGAAATAGCCAAAGGTCACACGGAGCCATGTGGGGAGAGTATGGAGCGTGATGAACCACAGGAGTATTGTGTTTGGCGACAAAAGCCTGAATCAGATGCGCAGAATGGGCAGATGCGTTATCACGATGGAGCTGCCAAGTTTTGATCGACCACAGATCCGGTCGTTGCGTTGCACTGTATCGGAAAGACGACAAAGAACCTCCTGGTAGTACTCCTTTGCGATGGTTTGGCCTTGTGGTGCGTACTCACGACACACCACCCCACGAGAGTTGAAAAAACTGTCAACATGACCTTTGATATTGCTGCGGACCTGCCGCTCTTTTTTTGGCCTCGAGGATTGTCCCCGAAAGCCTACTGAATCTTGCGAATGGTTTACACTTGGGTATCGCCAAGGTTTTTGGCAAAATTTGATGTAATATTGCTGCTCACGTTGTTCAGTAATTTTCCAGCTTAGTGGAATCTGACGAGAGCACACTACATGACCTCACTCATAGGCCGATTGCCAACGACTGACACTTCTTGCAGGCGGGAAAAAATTCAGGGCTGTGCATGACTGTCCCCTCCACAACTCCACCGAAGGAGGCCTCTCGCGCATCATTGGTTTACGCGGAAAAAAAAAGGTCCGATACTTTTTGAACAGACCTTGCAAAGTCAAAAAAGAATTGATTGTTAGTCTAAAAAACTATTAACTATCAAAATTATTCATAAAGATGATTAGAAGTTTATCACTAATTATGGTCACCATACCCCAAGTTTCACATAAGGATCAAAACCCATAAAACACTCATTGCCTATAGACCTCTTGTTGATATTAAATTTTATTGTTTACATAACTTAGAATTATTTGTCAAATCCAAACTAAAATCCCTTGTAATGTCTAAACAGAGCATTAAAAGCACTGATGAATTTCTTAATAACCTAAAAGGAAGTCAAAATGGAAAATAGGTTTAGAATGTTGTCTTTGGACATCAAGAATATGTAGCCCAGTATCATCCAAGATAGAATTGTTAATTCCCTCAGTCTATAAATTGTGCAGATTGACTCATTGACCTAGTTGTCCTTATTTTATCGAACAACCATTTCCAATTTAATGGAAAATTCTATACTCAAAAATCTGGCATACCTATGGAGTCCATTATAGCCCTACATTAGCTGAACTAAGTGTTATCGATATCGATACATCCATTAATAATATACATGGCATCAAATTCTTCAACAGATATGTTGATGATTGTTTTATAATCTATGACCCTGTAATCTTAAACCCTAATGACTTGGTTACAAGTGTTAATGGCCTTGATAACATTAAATTTGAAGTTGAGAATGAACTTCACAATAAATTACCATTCCTGGATGTTTTAGTTACTAAACATTCTAATACCCTGGAAATAGAAAATTACAAAAAATCTTGTAATGTTAATAAAGTCATGGACTACCAGTCACATACTCCCCTGTTCATAAAAAAGAAACATTTTTGTCAATTTCATCAAAAAGATATTTAATAGAACTACTTCTGATTACAAAAAGAATATTGAGATCACAGACATTGTTAAGACCTTCTTATTAAATAATGACCCAAAAGTACTTCTAAACAAATGGCTAAAACAATTTAAGTGTAATAATAACACCAATGTCCATACTGCTAATCCCATTAACAACAATGATACAAAAAAGTTCTTTAAACTTACATATGTTAAAAATATGTTTGAGAAAATTAAAATGGTCTTAAACAGTACCAACATCAATTTAGTCCCTGACCTTTGTAATAAAACCCAAAAATACATCCAACCAAACCACCCAAACAATATGGTTAATGTCCTTAAAAAAAGCAATGTGATATACAGGTTTACCTGCAACTGTAATAATCCTATGACCTATGTAGGTAAAAACAAAAAGATGTCTCGATGTTTGTACATAAACGTCATCAAATACAATTCAGTATTCTGCAGTTGTTAAACACTGCTATCTATATGGATGTGAAATAGATAAAAGTATGATAAAAGCACTAAAATTTGAAACTAACACCTATAAACGTAAATATTTTGAACATATAGAGATTTTAAAAATTAATAATGTTAATAGAATTAATGATAATCTAGGTGTCAAAATTGACAAAGGTTGGCATAATTATATCTTTTAAAAACTAAATATCTTTGTGATGTTACGACTATATATTGTTAAAAACTGTTGGAAACTTGTAATTGTATCATATGTTGTCACCACTTGTGCACCAGATGTGGAGTGTTACATCCATTACTACCATTCCCAGCACCTTGTAGTAAGCTGACACCTGCAACTATGTCATCTTACTGTTTTTGGTATGTACATTATCTGTCTGTATAACTTTAGTTCATAACTGTAAACAAATAATTGTCTAACTTGTAACTGTTTTGTATCAGCACCCTGTACATCATACCACACCACCATGCAACGTTATGAAGATCTATTACACCTGTCTACACTGATAATGCTTACTGCTCATACAGTTATAACGGCATTTTCATCTTTATATTGTATAACTTTAGGCATAGTTTTAAGTTGACCGTTACCTTATATAATTTTTAATATAGCATTACCTTTAGTTAATACCAACTGATGAGGGACTATTTTCTATCGGAAAAATAGTCCGAAATGCATTTTGGGTTTTCGTTTCCATACTTATGTAATAATTTTTTGTGTTTATTAAATTGTTTTCACTTTGATCCCTGAGTGTTTGTGCCCATCATTGGTCTGATAAACCCTCACTATTATCTGCCTCACAGTTGTTGATAATTTAATTAATATAAGCTCAAATATGATTTGACTTGTACATAAATTTGACTATTCTACTATACAGTATATGAGATAGAAGTACATTTGGTATTTTCCATCAGAACACATTTTAGTGTTTTATTTTCATAAATCACATAATTGTGATTCATTAGTCAACTTAATTTGATTTTTATTTTAACAAGTCAATTTATAATAATTTTTTTTCTTTGTTTTTAATTTTAAGGAATCTGTTGACATAATGAAAGGATTAACAAACACTCAAGCCAAAGCCTTAGCTAAAAATTTACAGTTTCAGGGTACATTAATAGATGAAGTAAGTCTAATTTAAGTTACTAATACTTTTCTGTCTTGAAATCAAATTTTGTTTTTGAAACTTCTATAAAGAATATCTAAGTGAAGCTTTGAACTATTCAATAAATTTTTACAAAAGATTTTTGTATTCAAAGGTATTAGAAATTTCAATGTTTAACATGAGAATAATCAAATATAAAATTTTATTAACTGAAAAGTATCTTTTCATATTTAATTTCTGATTTATGGAATATTAAATAAATTAGCAAGAAAAACTAGTAAAATATTTTAATGAAGACTATATTAAAATCATTTTTTATATTTTTTAGGCAGCTGATCAAATTAAAAAATTATACCAATTATTTTTAAAAATTGATGCAACGCAATTAGAAGTTAATCCTTTTGGTGAAACACCAGATGGAAAAGGTAAGTAATTATATCGTTCATAAAAGTAAGTTGAGGTTCTCCCCCAAACTTTTTAAGTAGAGAAATTATGCAGTATATATTGTTACATTATTAATAACAAACAGATAAAACTTTAATGAAGTTTAAAATACTTTATATATTACAAATATTAGTATTTTTGGGCTAAAAATTCAAATTATCTGAATTATGGGTTCCTGGCACAAAAGCATTAATATATATTATACATTAATGCTTTTGTGCTTATATACTGTATTATATATTAATGGAGTTTAATATATATTGAATTTTAAAATCCATTAAATCATTATTTGGTTAACCTGGCACATGTTGAAATTTTTCTCTGTTGCCTGTTGTGCCATTTTGAATTTTTGTCGATGTTAAGTCTAACAAAAAAAAACACGTTTTTGAAAAAATAATTGTGGCTATTGTATCATCCGAAATTATTATTTTTTTACTTTGCACAAATAAAATAGATGTAATTTTTACATTAAAACTAACTTCCAAAATATATAACGACTAGTGACATCTAGTTTCAAAAACTTTCTGATGCTGGAACGAGATATCTCGGGTCACGACCTAATGACCTTGACCTGTGGACCCAAGATATGTCAGGGAATACCAAGGAGTAGGGTTAAATGTTCTATATATAGATAGTCTCTGTAAGCTATTAGCTGACAATGAAGTTGAAAAATATTCTAATATTTTGATTTGCATGTTTATTATCGAAATTCCTGAAATACAAATCCCATTCAAATTAATTTTCTTTGAATCAAAGACTTTTTACAAAACTCAAATGCTTTTAGCTAAATACTAACTGATCATTTTTCTTGACTCCTGATGATGGGTTATAGCCTGAAAGCCTATTGGTTTATTATTATAAGTCTGTTTCTCACAGTTTGACCAGTAATTTTGGCAGGTTAATGAAAACTGAGCTCTTGTTTTCTTATTGTTGATTGAGGTTGAGGAATCTGCGAGTGATGTTGAATGCTTGCAAAACAACAACCTTCTGCATTATTATTATTATTATTCTGAAAAAAGCAGTTTGAATTATATTGATTACTTGTACAATTATAAAAGCAAGATGCAAATTTCATGGTTATGGTAGTAATATATAATATAGGAGATTAACTGTTTTATATACAAAACAGTTGAGCTATATAGTTTATGGAAGATTACATACAGTGAAGAGGCATTGTTTTAAACCAGTTTTTTATTTACTGTATATTGAATATATTATTACATTCTGTATAAAATCTGTTGTTATAATAATGCATATTTTTAAATGAAATTGATTTGTAATAATAATGGAGAAAATTGGATTATTACAATGAATTATTAACTTACACTTTATAATTATACCTTTGTCAATCCAGCAACAATTTAACCACTTGCTGCACGAATGTTTTTAAAGGAATTTTTAATTAAACATAAAAAATACTTAAAACTGAAAAAAAACGAAAGAAATGCATTAATTTTGATGAAAACCAACGAGTCATTGTGTACACAGCTGGATGACCTTGAGAACAGCTGGTGTCGTATTTCCCGGGACATTCTCAGACGTCTCGGGAGGAGAAGGGTTTAAAGTAGGGTTAATACTAGCTAGACCTATATATTTTTAAATATTTTTAAAAAATTAAAAGTTTTATTGCGATTTCCGACCCCTCCCGACTTAATTAAACTTATATATAATAAAATATATTAATTAAAAAAATTAAAAAACTATTGGAGGTCGTTTTTGACATCAGAAAGTAGCTTTAAATAACTTTACCGAAGTCAAATCTGTGCACTACAACTTTAGAATGATTAATTAATTTTGATAAAAAATCCCATTAAAAAACATTTAAGCCATAATCGAGCCTTATCAAAGGCTAATTAAAATCGCGATAAAATTTTTTTGCGTGGGTAAAAATTCTTGGAAAAATTTGGAGACTTAAAAAACATTCCAAANATTTTTGGGCTAAAAATTCAAATTATCTGAATTATGGGTTCCTGGCACAAAAGCATTAATATATATTATACATTAATGCTTTTGTGCTTATATACTGTATTATATATTAATGGAGTTTAATATATATTGAATTTTAAAATCCATTAAATCATTATTTGGTTAAACTGGCACATGTTGAAATTTTTCTCTGTTGCCTGTTGTGCCATTTTGAATTTTTGTCGATGTTAAGTCTAACAAAAAAAAACACGTTTTTGAAAAAATAATTGTGGCTATTGTATCATCCGAAATTATTATTTTTTTACTTTGCACAAATAAAATAGATGTAATTTTTACATTAAAACTAACTTCCAAAATATATAACGACTAGTGACATCTAGTTTCAAAAACTTTCTGATGCTGGAACGAGATATCTCGGGTCACGACCTAATGACCTTGACCTGTGGACCCAAGATATGTCAGGGAATACCAAGGAGTAGGGTTAAATGTTCTATATATATAGATAGTCTCTGTAAGCTATTAGCTGACAATGAAGTTGAAAAATATTCTAATATTTTGATTTGCATGTTTATTATCGAAATTCCTGAAATACAAATCCCATTCAAATTAATTTTCTTTGAATCAAAGACTTTTTACAAAACTCAAATGCTTTTAGCTAAATACTAACTGATCATTTTTCTTGACTCCTGATGATGGGTTATAGCCTGAAAGCCTATTGGTTTATTATTATAAGTCTGTTTCTCACAGTTTGACCAGTAATTTTGGCAGGTTAATGAAAACTGAGCTCTTGTTTTCTTATTGTTGATTGAGGTTGAGGAATCTGCGAGTGATGTTGAATGCTTGCAAAACAACAACCTTCTGCATTATTATTATTATTATTCTGAAAAAAGCAGTTTGAATTATATTGATTACTTGTACAATTATAAAAGCAAGATGCAAATTTCATGGTTATGGTAGTAATATATAATATAGGAGATTAACTGTTTTATATACAAAACAGTTGAGCTATATAGTTTATGGAAGATTACATACAGTGAAGAGGCATTGTTTTAAACCAGTTTTTTATTTACTGTATATTGAATATATTATTACATTCTGTATAAAATCTGTTGTTATAATAATGCATATTTTTAAATGAAATTGATTTGTAATAATAATGGAGAAAATTGGATTATTACAATGAATTATTAACTTACACTTTATAATTATACCTTTGTCAATCCAGCAACAATTTAACCACTTGCTGCACGAATGTTTTTAAAGGAATTTTTAATTAAACATAAAAAATACTTAAAACTGAAAAAAAACGAAAGAAATGCATTAATTTTGATGAAAACCAACGAGTCATTGTGTACACAGCTGGATGACCTTGAGAACAGCTGGTGTCGTATTTCCCGGGACATTCTCAGACGTCTCGGGAGGAGAAGGGTTTAAAGTAGGGTTAATACTAGCTAGACCTATATATTTTTAAATATTTTTAAAAAATTAAAAGTTTTATTGCGATTTCCGACCCCTCCCGACTTAATTAAACTTATATATAATAAAATATATTAATTAAAAAAATTAAAAAACTATTGGAGGTCGTTTTTGATATCAGAGAGTAGCTTTAAATAACTTCACTGAAGTATTTTGCACTACAACTTTAGAATGATGAATTAAATTTGATAAAAAAAATTGCATTAAAAAACAATTAAGCCTTAATCGTGCGTCATTAAAGGTAAATTAAAATCACAATAAAATTTTTTTGTGCAGGTAAAAATTTTTGCAAAAAATTTGAAGACCTAAAAAACATCCAAAAATTGAAGAAAAATTTTTTTAGGGGCCGAAAGGACCGAGTTTTCTGTAACGCTATGTAACCTGCCCGAGTTAACTCAGGCGAGGAACTAAAGGGGTTTAATTAACAAAGTACTGTTAAAGGGAACTATACCCAATGAATGATATTTAGTACACATCTTTAAAGAAAAAGGGGATGTGCAGGAATGTAATAATTATAGGAGGATAAAACTATTGGCTCACACAATGAAACTTTTTGAAAATGTAATTGAACGGAGGATTAGAGAGGAAACTAGTGTCACTGAAGGCCAGTTTGGATTTATGCCTGGGAGGAGTACTACAGATGACATATACGTGGTGAGACAGGTGATGGAGAAGTACCGATCTGTGAGGAGAAACCTGAATATGGTGTTCATAGACTTGGAAAAAGCGTATGACAGAGTCCCGAGAGAAATCCTTTGGTGGTGCCTTAGGAAGAAAGGTGTGCCGCTTCAATACATTGTGACAATTGAAGATATGTACTATAGGGCCAGCACGCAGGTTAGAACTGCAGCTGGATTGATGGACATGTTCAAAGTAAGAGTGGGCTTACATCAGAGGTCAGCACTCAGCCCATACCTCTTCCTATTAGTTATGGATGTGATAACATCTGCTGTACAAGAGGACGTACCCTGGTGTGTGCTGTTTGCAGATGACATAGTNCGGATTCGCGTTAGTGTGCCAGGCCTGGACTTTAAGCGTGCACCGAATTAAATAATGACAAAGTTTGTCAATAACAAAATCAAATATTTAATTAAACTTCTATTAATAAATTCTATACAGTATTTAGTAAAAATCAAACAATAATTTATTCAATGGAACTCAACAAGAATCAATCCGACAAACTCAAATCAATCTATTTCTAACTTAATTCTATTCCCCTTTGGAATTCGACAAAATCAAAGAATTAACTTATAAACAATAATTCTTATGAATTAAAGATCCTAATCGTCACCTCAATATACTAGGAACCTATTTCCTCAACTCTCAAGACTTTCTCTATTTGTCGATCCACAAATCGAATAACTTCAAAATCGCCTTGGAACTATTTGATCCTATCGGACACCTCTCTCGTTCACTGCTACGAAGCTCACCAAGCTCGTTGCTATCTGGAGTTCACCTCGTTCGTCTTCACTTGACGTTTGGACTTTATACTGTGAGGTGACGTCACAATTCTGACTGTGATCACTCCCCTCATTTACATACTTATTTGCAAACAATAAATTTTTTCTATTTGTCTGGCAGCCTATTTTTCCGACAGTACTTGCTAATCTTTTACATTATTCTTTTTGACAATTTTCGGGATGTTTTATTCTTTTAAGGTTTAGCGAATTTAAGTTGTGCTTGTGGGGTTTCTCCCCCCCTTTTTTCTCAGTGCGGACTTACTTTTTTTCTGCTCGGGAACGCAAGTGTGCGTGAGTTTTTTTTCTACGGCGCTTTTCTCTCGTTGGTGAGTTAGTTTTTCTATTTTTTAGATTTCTAAGGTGAATGGTGAGGAAACCTTCGTCCTAACAAAACATAAGCTCCAAACAAAAATATAATAAAAAGCAAAATTAAAGTAAATAAAAATAATGCTCGGACTTGGTTCCTTACAGGTTAAATTGTTCTTTTAAATATCACTAAATCACTAGAATCGCTGTTTTTAAACTCAGTAACAATATGATTCTTAATAATATAACTGATTTATATAAATAAAGTTTACACACAATTTATTCAGCATTCTTTGTTTTGGAATGAAATTTGGAAACTTCTTGGCTGTAGTACAACAGCTGAGTGATTCTCAGCTTTTGTACTACAGCCTAATCATAGGAATGCCAATTGTTTCTTTTATAATATAAAATAAATAAATATTATTTAAAAAAATGCAGATCTTTAACATCACTTTTCATTCAACACATAACAGTATTGAGCATGCAATACTTGCTCATTAGTTTTGCATTAATGTGCACTGTTAAGTTAAAACCAATGAGAACCATTGATCTGGATGATTAATCAACAGTTAACATCTAGTAGGATTACTACAATCAGATTACATATTCTTTTGCATTAGTTTCTAATTTAGGGAACAATGTTGGATAAATTTATGTACTTTTGTGTACCAATTAGAATTTGGGATTTATTACAACTCATTTGACAAAGTTAACTGATTCTATATTTTAATGTAATGTTTCCAACTATAGACATGTTATTTATAAAAATACCACTAGAAAAGATTGAAAGCTTAAAAATTTTGAAATTATTAGCTATAGTAATAAACAAAACACCTTTTTTTGCCGAGAAATAATTATTTCTCGGCAAAAAAAAGTGTTTTGTTTATTATTATTTAGTTGCTGAGCGCTTTTGATATTAGCTATAGTAGTTTATTTTTTTTCCATAAAATAATTTTTTTTATATTGCTCTAGTTATTCATAAGTGCAGATCTACACTTATATTTTTTTAAAAAATCTTTTAATAATCTAAATTTCAGTTGTCTGTTTTGATGCAAAAATAAACTTTGACGATAATGCTGAATTTCGACAGAAGGAGATCTTTGCCAATGGTGACAATACTGAGAGTGATCCACGTGAGGTGGAAGCTGCAAAGTATCAATTAAACTATATAGGAATGGATGGAAACATTGCCTGTTTGGGTAGAAATTGAATTTTTGCATTCAATTAACATCTCTTAAATTGCATATTTATAAGTTTTCCTGTTTTTAGTAAATGGTGCAGGCTTGGCAATGGCAACCATGGATATCATACATCTTTACGGAGGAAGTCCTGCCAATTTTTTGGATGTTGGAGGCGGAGTGAAGGAAGAGCAGGTTTATCAAGCATTTAAGATTCTCACCAGTGATTCAAAAGTAAAATAATTATTTTTATTTATATTTTATGATTTCATCTACAACTTTATCAATAATTAATGGTTGAAACACAAACTGTTCTAATCCAAATGTAGAGAATGGTCAAACTAATAAAAATGAATAATGTCAGTGTTTGTCATGGGACCTATCCTGGCTGCATATAAATAAATTTACTAGAAAATATGCCATATATGTTATAGTATTTCCTCTCCTGTGTAATGAATGGTTATATATATTACAGTATATGAAAATAAAAGTAATAATTACTTGGAAAATTATTTTGATTTTCTAAAATGTGCTAAATGAATGGAAAAAATAATGATTATTTGTTAGTCTTCTGTTTATGGTAGAGAGTACAAACAAAAAAATTAATCAAAAGATTGACTTAAAATTTTGGACAACTCAAATAAATTCAAATTCATTGATGGAAGAAAGATTGTCTTACCTTTTTATAATGTCTCTTTTCTCATACATTTCTACATAAAATTTGCATTACTTTAAACAATGCATAATAACAGTTGATCTCTGTTATTAAACTCTGTTTACAAGAACTTGAACTGTGAAAGTAGTAGTAATTATTTTGAAAACTTTGGCACATTTTGAGAATAACAGTTTTCTACAGCTAATTGTTAATTTGTTAGAATTAACCAGGATTAATGTTTTATGTAAGCATTTGAGCATTTATTTTGCACTGCATTCAAATATAATATGGTCATTAGTTTTTCTTCTTTATTTCAGGTAAAAGCAATCCTCGTAAATATATTTGGAGGTATAGTCAATTGTGCCATTATTGCAAATGGTATTAAAAATGCTTGTAAAACCATGCAATTACAAGTGCCTCTAGTTGTAAGATTGGAAGGTATGCAATATATTTGTTAAAATATTTAAAATTGAAGGTATTTTATAAAATTAATTATTTTAATCAGGTACTAATGTGGACGAAGCAAAGAAAATACTGGCGGAGAGTGGACTGTCGATCACGACTGCCATTGACTTGGATGATGCTGCAAGGAAGGCTGTGGCCAGCCTGAAAATCTAATTTTAACGGTTTGTAGTGTTGGAATGGTTGGGAGAAGGATTTGTACCGACTCGAATGAGACGAGAATTTTGTCAGCCATTTTGGCATCAATTGTTTTATAACAACGATTGAGAAAAATTATATATTTTATAGTAAAATGACTAACACGTAGACACCCGGCACTACAAAATTTTTTGTGCCAAGATGTCTAGGGACTTTCTTTTGCCAAGACAAAAGTGGCATATTACCTAGTCCATATTATTATCATTATTTACAATGATGACAGAATACTTATATAGATTAATAGAAAAATTTTTATATTGAATTTATACATGCCAAATATTAGTTTTTGAAATAGTTGTTACAAATATAAAAATATTTACTGTTCAAAATCTGTACTTTTAAAATAAAGATATTTCGTACTTTAAAAAGTTTATCTATTCCAGTTTGATGACTTGATTGTTAATCAATTGTTAAAAAATTAGTTAGAATAGTTGTTGGAGTTTATTATATGTGTGAGTAAGTTGATGTATTTTCTTTGTAAAGATCATTGAGAATTTTCCACATGTTTTAATGATTGGATGCTCTTCCTGCCACCATCTGGACTTTGTCTAGTCCCAACTCCAGATAGACCTACTGAGCCCTAATGGCTGTATTTGCCAACAANACTATTTTCTATCGGAAAAATAGTCCGAAATGCATTTTGGGTTTTCGTTTCCATACTTATGTAATAATTTTTTGTGTTTATTAAATTGTTTTCACTTTGATCCCTGAGTGTTTGTGCCCATCATTGGTCTGATAAACCCTCACTATTATCTGCCTCACAGTTGTTGATAATTTAATTAATATAAGCTCAAATATGATTTGACTTGTACATAAATTTGACTATTCTACTATACAGTATATGAGATAGAAGTACATTTGGTATTTTCCATCAGAACACATTTTAGTGTTTTATTTTCATAAATCACATAATTGTGATTCATTAGTCAACTTAATTTGATTTTTATTTNTACATGCCAAATATTAGTTTTTGAAATAGTTGTTACAAATATAAAAATATTTACTGTTCAAAATCTGTACTTTTAAAATAAAGATATTTCGTACTTTAAAAAGTTTATCTATTCCAGTTTGATGACTTGATTGTTAATCAATTGTTAAAAAATTAGTTAGAATAGTTGTTGGAGTTTATTATATGTGTGAGTAAGTTGATGTATTTTCTTTGTAAAGATCATTGAGAATTTTCCACATGTTTTAATGATTGGATGCTCTTCCTGCCACCATCTGGACTTTGTCTAGTCCCAACTCCAGATAGACCTACTGAGCCCTAATGGCTGTATTTGCCAACAATGCAACATTTGGATTATGAAATCCTCAAATTGAATTGGAGAGCTTGGTTACAAGTTCTTGAAATGCATCATGGCATGTTTGTACAGATTGTTATACACAAACCAAGCTTGCAGTTTCAAAGTTTAGTAGATAAGATATTTCAATGATTAAAAAAAAACCTATACTAATTTTGAGACAAAAAATTTTATTAAATTAGTTGAAAAACAAAAATTATTGGAAAAAAAAACAAGTGTAGAGATTGTTTTATTCAGTCACCTCTGAATTTTAACGCCACAAAACAGTAAGCATTTGATATATATATCAAATGCTTACTGTTTTGTTACACACACACACATTCTTATTTTCAATAGCTTAAAATCATCATAAGAAATATATCCTTGTTTTACAAAGAATTCAAATAGCCTAAACTCTTTTATTGGTGAGTTAAACTCTTATTGGCAAGTTAATTTAAGAATTAAGTTAGGATTCAGACTTAAATTGCATATTTATAAGTTTTCCTGTTTTTANGTTGGATTATTATACCGCCAGTCGAAATTAAACTAACGAACCTTTAACGTTCGTACCTTAATAAATAGCCTAGAATTTTAGATATCGAAATATTCAATAGCGAACTCGAAAAAAATCCCCTGGTAACGCGTAATTAAATCTTTGGTGGGCATTCTTAAAAATTAATTTAAAAAATTAAACTATTGGAGGTAGTTTTTGATATCAAAGTAGCTTTAAATAACTTTACTGAAGTAAAATCCATGCACTACAACTTTAGAACGATGAATTAAATTTGATAAAAAAAATCGCATTAAAAAACAATTAAGCGTTAATTGTGCGTCATTAAAGGTAGATTAAAATCGCAATAAAATTTTTTTTGCGCGGGTAAAAATTTTTGAAAAAATTTGGAGATTTAAAAAACATCCAAAAATTGAAAAAAAAATTTTTTTCAGGGCCGAAAGGACCGAGTTTTCTGTAATGCTATGTAAACTTCCCAAGATAACTCGGGTCCAGATGGCAAGGTTAAAAAGTCCTGTTATCAAGATTTGCCAAATGATCATTTTTTTTGGTCCTCTGTTTCTATTTTATATTGTTAAAAGGAGTATATTTAATGAACTTTATCTTTTTTTATTTTTAATACGTTCAGAACTTTTGGCAGAAATTGATAACTCTCAACCAGATCTTGGTTTTTCAACAAGAAACAATTTTTTTCAATTTTATTTTTAAAAAAATCCAAAAAATATGTTGAAATTGATTTAGTTCAATAAATCTTGATGTAATATCATTTAAATACTCAAGTAATTAAATGATCAAAAAGTAATTCATTGTTTTTTTAGAGTACTAAATTCCACAAAAAACTGATAGATTAAATTTAATGAAATCAATTCTGAATTTAAATTTTGTATATTCTATATTCCTATGTATTAGGACTTACATATTCATAATTTTTTTAGCATCCTGTATAATAATAATGTAACAAACTTAAAGGTTTGCAAAAGTAATTTTATGTAATTTTCACTTTATAAACAGAATGAGTAATTATTTATTCACATCATCACAATACCAGGTTGCAATTTTTAATCATATATTTTATATTGAAGAAATTTAAAATATGCTGTCCACCTCATTAGTAGTGGCTTGCCCCTGTAGTCGTGCTGGTCATCTAACATCTGGGGAAATTTTTGAATTGAAATAACATGACTTCCAGTTTGCATCAGAAGATCGTATATAGTTAATTGGGGCCTCCTGCTATTAAGGTTTCCATATCTGGTCTTGTCTTTCATCTATCTAACTCTTTTCTCAAGATTAATTATGGAAAGACAGACAACAGTGAGAATTTATAGGTTTACAATTTTTTTAAGATTGTAATCCAAAAACTAAATATAGTAGAATGATTACAACAAACAAACTAGTTTCACAAAAAATGTTATGATGTTATATAAACCTGAAATAAACAAAGACAGTATAAAAATAATTTATCTGTATTAAATAAACCACAATTTACAGAAATTACAAAGAAAAATATAAATACAGTACATTATAGTTGCTTAAAAATACTGTTCAAAGTTAAAGCCACTTACATTTTAACACAGCCAATAATAATACATGGCAGACTCATACAGGTTCAAAAATATGCAATTTGTGAATTATTTCTGTTGATGTGACAATTCTGCCAATCATATGTCGTAAAAATATGATTAAGTTGATTATGTCAAAATATCCAATTAAAAGTGTGTCATAAAGAAAAGTTTTATTTGGATTCATGGAAAAAACCTACTGGCAACAAATTTGGAGACTTGGCAGTTACAGGCCCACCTTTCCATCCTCTACATGTCTAAACCTGTGGTTAAAATACTTGAGCCAGTGCACCAAGTTGAAACCACTTCTCTTTCCCAAATCTACAGGAACATTTTCAAGTAGTTCTGGTAGCATGTCCTTATGTTATTTTTCTTAAGTCTACCTCTGGTCCTGCCTCTGTTTCTCAGATACATACACTCAGAAAAATCACCCAGAATGCTATCCCCTCTCAAACGAAGGAGTTCTAAGAAATTCTGGTTATTGTTTGCTTTGGTGAAGAAACTAATGAAAAAATTCAATCATTGCAGGATAATCTGCAGGGTGAAGTGCTTGTACAATAATAGTAACAGTACATGCAGACAAATGAGATGACATGGATAAAAATTATTTTTGTAGGTGACATTCCATACTAGGTTTGATTAACATGTAGATCATTAGAAATAGTCTTGGTGTTCATAGACGCACATTTTCAAGACATTGTAATATTTTTTGTGCAAATTGTCTGAAGTTGCATTATCTGCTATCTATATGAATGAACTATTTTCTAGCAATTTACAATAGATCAAGGTAAAGACTGTCAAGAACACCTTTGGTTAGGAAATTGTTGACAATTCATTGCACTTCTCTACTGTTTCATTAGCATTACCATAACAGAAATGCATATAAACAAGCTCAGATCAGCTGAATCATTCCATAATTAGTGAAATGATAGCAACTTCTTGTTTTTATTGCAAATAAATTGTCACATTTGCATAGCCTATTGACAATTACTTCGACAGTTTCATTTAATATTCACAGGGAATTTAAATGGGAACTTAAAAGTTGTTTCTGAGCAGAATACCAGAGATGCAAAAGCATCCTAATTTCTGTTAACTTTGATCTGTATCTTGTACAGTTCATTTCATGAATCATGTCCAAACTGTAAAAATGCACCTAGTAGGGACCAGTTTATTTACTTAGTGGAAGGAGCAGATTGTTTGTTGAATACTAATAAGGGTACTGAGTTACTAAACAGAGCTCTTGAACTTTATAAAACTTCTAGATCCCTGACTAAATACTGTGCATTGTTCAGCCAAGATATATGAAATATGTAAATAACAAATTGACCCTGTTTATAAGGTAAAAATTGCTTATAATTATTTCCTCTAAGTTTGTCTACCTAATTTTTGAACATCCTAAATATGCATATAGTTGAGTTGAGTGAACATGCTATCTGCACTTTGGAGGTGCAAAAATTTCCTGTCAAAACAAACAAGTCCAGAATGAAATTATTTGCTTTTAAGCTTTTCTTTATAAAATAAGGGAGCTCATACAGGTGAATGTTAGCATTCTTTATGTATACATGATGGCTGGATGGCCAAGTGCTAGGGTAGCAGCCCACTTCTTTGGAAACTAGGATTGAAACCAGATGGGTTAAAAAACCCCAGGAATTTTTTGAGAGATGGTCTGTCCAGGTATGTCAGGTCCTGTCTCTCATTGTGGACCTGGCCAAACCCATAATAGGTTTACTATAAAAAGTAATATTGACTAAATTTTGATATTTTGTTAAACTTTTTTTTATGACAAAGGGTTTGGATCCAAAGCCCTGTTGTAATGAACAGCAATTATTAAACCACAGGATGAGTTTAAAAAAATTGAATATGTTGAGAGGATTTTATTGTCTGCAAATTCTGTAAATATAAACAAAAAAAGATATTAAAGAAAATTTTTGACTAAGTTAAAATTTTAGCTGTTTACCATAATTTCCTGCATATAATCCACAACAACATATAACTTACAGAAAAGAGGAATTATGGAAATCTTATCAGCTTTCAAGACCAAAAAAAAAACAATTGAGATACAAACAAAAACATCTGAGATGTAAAAAAATTGTGACAATTTAGATCAGTGTTTCCTTTTTTGTGCTATGCCCCACCTAAGCCTTTCTAAAATTCTTATGCCCCCTTAACATATACAGTGGCTATACAGTTAACTTAAACTCTGGATGAGTCCATTTTTGAATTGCCCCCGTGGGATGTGGGCCCCACGTTGGGAAACACTGATTTAGATGATAGTCAAATTTTTTTCTTAGGAGTTTTTCTTTGGTAAAGATAAGCTTGGCACTTTGAAGCAAAATGTAGAAAATAATAATACAGTTAAAAATCTTGTGCATATCACTTCAAAGTACCAAGTTTATCTTTACCAAACAAAACTGCCAAGAAAAATTTTGACTATCATCTAAATTGTCACAAGTTTTTAAATGGCACAATTTTTTTTTTACATCTCAGATGTTTTTATTTGGATATAATACACAGTGACTCCAGTTTACCAGGTTTTTAAAAATTTTATATTATAAATATTTGAGTCACAGAACCCTTACAAACAAATATATTGGGTCTTATGAGCAAAAAGTTTGAGAAATGCTGAGCTATCACTCTTCATTCTTTTCCTGGACTATATGCTGTGTCTGGAAATCTGAAAGATAAAATAAAGTAGAAATGTAACAAGTAAACTTTCTTTGAAAATAAAGGGCATTCACTTTTCCATCATCCTGTATATTCAGGAAATTTTTAAATAAATTTGAAATATCTTGCAAACAATATATTTAACATTTGTTCAATCATTTCCTATTTTAAAAAAAATCAATATTCTGACCCGTATATGTGCAAAATTTAATATTTAAAGTTAGTGTTAGCAAAATAATAATTTTCTGTTATTTTATTAAAATGATGCATTTTAAAAATTTATTTAAAATAATTTTAAAAAAAATTACAAAAACTTCCCAATTAAAATGGCAAATTTAATTGCAATTATTTTCAAAATATTTTATTTCTTCTTTTCTGCCACATTTAAAAGAAAGTACACGACAGATGATGTCTGCACAAAAACTTTCTCAATTATTTAGTAATCAAAAGAATTTCTTTCTTTTTCTTTCTTAATTATTGAAATTTTCATTTTTATTTTTGAGATTCGTCACATCCATAACCAACGTTTATATATAAATATTTGACATTTTCAAAATATTTTACAGAATTATTAATAATAAAACATACAAAATTTATAAATTTGCAATGCAAAATCATTTACTGAAAATCTGATATGCATCTTTTTATTTATTTTTTATATATGAACAACATTGCTACGTATCAAAAACTTCTCCTTTTTAAATATAATTTTGTTCATTCTGGCACTATATTCTTTATGTGCATTAACAGTACATACAATACTTTACTACAGATGATACTCCTCCTAACTGTCTTCTCGGGATTGAAATATACACGAATCAAATTTTGTTTGGTTTCATTGTGAATGCTTTTTTGTTGACAATATGTAGGATGATCAGAAAAAAAGATTACACGATTATATAAAGTCATTGAAAATTCTAGACTTGTGGATTAAGATAAGGGCCATTAGCTCTCTAAGAACAAAGAAGCTTAGTCGTGCTCTTGAGTAGCAAAGTTCTGTTCACAGTTTTCTGAAAGTATCTGGTGTTTTACTATCTGAATTCTGGAATATAATCATGCAGTTAATTTATATAATTGCTTTGCAACCCTATAGCTATTGTGAGAGGCTGTGAGGACAATGTTGTTGTCATTTCAATAATTCTTCTTTGTGACAGTACTTGGCTGCATGTGGTACAAAGGATGGTGCTTTCTACAGCAGCTCTATTGAAAACTATAAGACCACCTGATATATCAGCAAATGATTTCTATGTTTCCTGTACAAGGGCATTCATAGAGGGGGAAAATGGGGCACTCATACTCTGGAATCAGGTAAATAATTCTTTTCTTTCATATTGTAAATTTGTATACATTAAGTGTTTTTGTATTGATGCAATACTGTATTCTATAATCTACTTGCAAAAAAAAGCTCTAAAAAATTAAATAAAAATTTATTAATGTAATTATTTGTCTCCAAGCTTTGCCCCACCCTGAAAAATTTTCTGCTGACTCCTATGTTCCTGCCTAAAGAAAACACTAACTCATCATGTCAGTTGTGATTTGATGTGAAACACATGGCAAGACTATGGCTATCAAAGCATTGAACCATTGTTTCATGACACTGATGTTAAACACTATATTGTTATAAGTGCTGTAATTACTATGTATAAAATATAGAACTAATATAGATTGGACATTTTTGTACTATGATAGAAATTTAATTCTGGAATTGTATGTTTTTTTTCCTTCTTTTTATATATGATTATTTAATCTCTTTTTCTGATCAACCCTCATATTTATGAATAAATATTTTATTACATAGCTTTTAGACACTAACTTTATAATAAAATATTCATTGAAAAAACAGGGACAATCAAATATAATTGAGAACAACTACAAAGCCTAGTGCAGAACTGTTTTTATAGTCAAACATATACTTTTTAAACATAATGCAACAAATTGTTACGATGTATATTCCTTTACATATTTGCATAAATAACATTAAAAACACTTGGATTTTCTTAACTTGAAATAACAAGAAACATATCATAATGTAAAAATTAATCTTCAAGTGTATACATTTCAAACTATCATAATTACTATTCTTTGTATTGAATGAACAAATTTTAAAAAAATAAAATAATAATAATTATAATAGAGGAACTTTTTATTCTCTTATTTTATTGTTTTCTGGCAGCGTTATTAGTCGTTGGAAGACACCTCGAGTTGGCGTAATAAACTTAGGATAAATATAGCACATTTAAAAAAAAATACAATGCAGTATGCTACATAGCACCATATATTATGGATATTAATTGAAAATTAATAAATGTATTGTACGAAGAATTATAGTAGATGCTCGATTATCTGGAACAAGTGGAAAAAAATAATGCCAGACAGCATAGATTAATCAAGAATTTGGTTATATAAAGTGTAGAAAAATTCTTCAAAACTATTAGAAAATATTGTAATGTGGACTTACTATGTTTAACTTTACATATTTCAAACTTTCTTGCAATCTTGCTTTAAATATTCTCTTTACAAAACTTTCAACTGTATTTTCTTGAGTGTAACCTGCAGTTTTCCTTGGTATATGTGATTTAAGTATTCTGGATAATCGAGGATCTACCATATTAGAGTTTAGTTTTTAAAAAAGCAAGCATTCTGATGCAACAATGCAATTATTCACTTTGTTTTTACATACTAAATAATGACAGTTAAAAAAAGAACTTTTTAAAATAAATATAAAGAACATTAAACTATACATAATTAATTAAAATACTATTTATTTGATGTAAATTCCAATGGAAATACTTTATAATTTAAACACATTTTGTATAAAACTGCATTTATAGATATTTTATTATGGTAACAGAATATCAAATTTAGGAAAAATATTAATAAAGAAACCTGAATTAAAATAACAGTGATGGAAACATTTTCCTATATACCATAACTTGATAATCAGACTAAAATAATGGTCCTTACTAATAAAAAAAAAAATAATAATTCTTTTTAATACATTATCACAGTATAAAATAATATGCCAAACAAATGTTTACTTTTTATTTTATAACAGGGGAAGAGACCCTATTTGATCACTTCAGAGAAAACGAAAAATTAATGTTTCATATGAATCTGATTATCACAATTACTTTGTAAATTTTAACAGTTAAATAATAATAATTATAATAATAAAACAGAAACATTTTTAAAATAGATTATTATATCCCATTATTAATAAATGTTTCATGATATAATAAATTCTTCGGCTTGAACAATATATATATTTTTTTCAACTCTTTTGTTGAACATTACCCTTATTTTTCATTAAAAGTGAAAAAATGGATTGGTCACAAGATCATTTATATATATTGGATCTGCATAGCAGATATAATATTAAGAGGCACTAGATTTATAAATGCTGATAAATTGCAACAAATTTCTTTTTCAAACACTCTAACAAAAGTATAGTATATTCTATACAGGGAAACACTATCCTCTGGGGAAACTATTTTGCTAACGTAGCAGGAAATATTCATTGCCATTTAACTAAGAAAACAAAACAAAATGATCCTTACTGATAGCTGATTTAGCCATGTCTGCTATGCAGACTGCTACATATTGATATGAAATGCATACTTGACAATCATCAAATTATTCTTCTTTCATGAATGAAAGTTGGCAAGTTCATTTTATAATTCCAACTTAAATGATAAAATATCAATGTTTTTCCTTCCATGGAATTCCTGTAAGAGTGTTTTTAACTTATTAAATCAATCTTGTATTAAAACTAGTTCATTTCTTTGTCAACTGTAGATGATTGGGTGCATCTGCAAACATAAATTTAAGTCTATAAGCTTCTGCCACAAGAAGACTCATTTCTTCGTTACCCCAGTGTAACGTTGGTAGATTCTGAAGTGTTAGCATTAAACCCTAAAATAAAAATATTTATCTGTTTAAAACTTTGTTAAATGTTTTTGTTAAACATAAATTTTAGTCATAATATGTGATTTATGTATGTTTATATAAATACATAATATTAACAGAAACAATTATTTTATTATTAGTAATTGTATATTTTGTTTGTAGCTATTTTGTAAATATACAAAATAAAAAATATAAATAATAAATACATACAGTAATTTATTAAATACTTAAGCCAGAGATAGCTTAATCATTAAGTAATAACTTATGGGCTACTTGTATAGCTTCATCCTTAAGCCAATACAGGTATACCTCGCCTTACGTTAGTAATTGGTTCCAAGAGAACGACATAAGTCGAATTTACTTGTCTCCGAATCTACTTGCCACTAGGCTAAACCATAAATTACCAATTCCCGTTCTGTATTTTATTTATTAATGCATTTTTAATAATATATGGTTAATAAGGATCTATTTTAAGCTTACAAACAAATAAATTTTAGTTTTTAATATAGTACAGAAAAAAGTAATTTAAATTTATGAATGCATGTACTGTAAATACAGTATATACTTGTAAATGTATATATTATAATATGATTTTATGTGCTTTAAACATTTTTCTAGTGATATTACGACTTCAATATTTGTGGCGGACAGACGTAAAGTCGAATAAAATGACTTAAACTTGATTTTTATTTTTCCATATACTTTCTTGACAAACAACTTATAATCGGGAACGACGTAACTCAAAACGACGTAAGTCGAGGTATACCTGTATTATATTTTTAAAGATACATTAAGAAACAGCAATTTAACCTTTATTAAATGCAATAACTAATAACAATAATTCTATGTTATATTTTCTACTATTTTATGTGGAATATATAATTTTCAAGTTAAATCATATTATGATGCTTTATCACTTTTCTTTTTTTGCACTTCCATCTACCTAAATATACATCATAGAAAAACTTTATAAATTATCATATGACATTTTATACATATTCTTTTATATTTTATCTATAAACATTTTCCCAACATATATTTTTCTTGTTATAAAACTTCAGGATATAGATTATTCTTAAATTAGAAATGATAAACTTAAATGTTATTTCAGAAGTTTTAATTAAATATTTAAAACAACAGTGTTTTCAGTTTGATCAAGGAACAAATTTGGAAGAGCCAAGTATAAAATGATTAAGTTAAAATAGCAATTTAAATGTAAAAGAAATATATGTATATATATGTACTGTACATATATATATGTTTATATTTATTTTATTTAATTATTTAAATTTATGTGATATTTATTAATATATGTACACTGTCAATTTAACTACCAAATTAACAGATTAAAGAATAATTTGGAAAAATTTAGGCTATCACACTGTTTCTACATTATTTAATTAGAATATAAATTATCATCAAAATGAAACGTGTACTTATAGTGTCAAATTTGTTACTTTAAGTTTTATATGTCTAAAATGATAATTAGTTACTTTATTAATTTTTTAATACATTTATACTTTTTTTTTGGATAATCAAAAGTATATACTGTATTTTCTTTCAAAATAAACATTATTATTATTAATTATATTATATTTCTGTTATTTTTTTTTACATATAAGATGATTTTTACCTGAAAATCTTTTTCTTGGAGTAAATCCTTTGACCAATGAGTCAAAAATGCAGCACACACATACAAATGAAAAGTGGAGAAACCATTCGTTTCTGACTGTAAGAAAATAAATCAATTTATATTTTATAAGATGTAAATAAAACTGAATTATATTTATAGAGAACAAAATATAATTTTACAATATTTAATAATATCTAAAAAAGATGATCTAATCAGATCTGAAAAAAATGCAAAAGCTTCTGTCAATCCATGAGAATATATTTCTTTAAAATTTTTATGATTTAATTTTTTCCAGTATTTTTCTTTTTCATTGTAAAATCTTTGATAGATGTTACAATGAACTGTTATATATCAAAATAATCAAACTGTTCATCAAGATGAGCTATAAAATGTCATTAAATGTTTAAGGCCTAAAATTATCAGCAGCACTTGTACTTCTTATAGCAGTTTAAAATGTTTATACAGGTTGTTCTAAAGTAACACACCAGAAGATATTTCCATATAGAGCCCTGCCATAGGAAAAAAGTAATTTATGGTGTAAATAATTGTCATAACTCAATGCATGTAACTATACCAGAAATATCTAGTACAAAATGTATTTACATAAAATAATGAAAAGAAATGTTTTTGATGATTTTTAAATTGGCTGAAGATGATAATTTAAAAATCATCAAAAACATTTGTTTTCATTATTTTTTGTAAATACATTTTGTACTGACATTACTGGTATATAGTTATGTGCATTGAACCCAGTTTTATGTAGTACTTAGTTGTCATAACCTGTAATCATCAGGATATACTGTAAAATTAATTATTACTATTTAATGAACGTAAAACTTAAAAAAACTATAGTATTTAACAATTTTATTATGGTTTGACACACTAACTAATATTAGTTTGTGTGTTGTAATAATAATTAACTTAAGGTATAACTTGTTCCCGACAGCACCATATACAGTGCATAGATTTTAAAAGATTTTTAAAAGTACTTTTCTAAAACTTTTAAGGTTATACTTATTATACTTTTTATATGTTTAATGGTACATACATGTTATGTATGGAAGCAGACTCTGGTGAATTACTTTTGAACAACCCTATATATATATATAAAAACATTTTGAACTACTTTAAGTAACAGCAACATTGTGATTCATTAATGTCTAACTGTGTAAATTTTAATAAACAAAATTAAAACATTTAAAAAAAAATGTAATAAGAAATATTTGATATTTAAATTTACCAAATAAGTGTCCCAAAGACGAATTGTACACCGCAATGGAAGTTCTCTCATTAAAAGATTATTCATCCATCGAAATGAAAATTGTAAATATTCTACAGAATGTCGATGAAGATGTTCATGAAGTGGAGCTAATAAACATAATCAAGTATTTGATGAAATTGTCAAAAATAAAGTACAGTAATAGCCTAAACTTACGTGATAGGTGGGACCGAGTGATAACCACGTAAGTCAAATTCGCGCAAGTTAGGGTATAATTTCGCAATTTGTATAAAATCCAAGTCAAATGTATGTAAGCTAATAAATGTTCTCGTTAATCTTATCTTGTCTTTTGATTCATTCACAGTTACAAGAAATTATCACATAGAATCTCTCAAGTCTCCATAGATATAACAAACACAGAAATAAATAACACAAAATAAATTGTAGCTATGCGTCGATTCTGCACGACGCGTCCGAACATATAAGCTGAACAATAGTGTGAGGGGAGTGAGTAATCAAGAGTTGCTTGGCACTCAAACAAAAGACGAATCGACGAGATTTGAAAATTACGTAACTCCGGGTTCACGTAAGTCGGGGTAGCGTAAGTCAAGGTATTACTGTACTGAATTATAATTTGAAATTTCAAAATATAACAAAAGAATTCATGAATATTATTTGAAATAAACATTAAAACAAAAAATTTTTTAAAATTTAAATTGACTTCAGTACAAAACAAGCTATTTAAATACTTTATAATACAAAATATTTGAAATAACTACTTAATTATTCTATAAAAGAAAAAAAATGTAACTCAATAGAGATTCTAAATGTATATATTGTTAATTTAGAAATTTATTCAATTATACACAGTGGAGAAAAAAATAAACTTAAGTTTTGGCACAGATTTTATTACACAAACTCTTACACTACACTACTTTCAAAATATTGTAACTGTACACTTCTGCCAGTATCTGTAACACCTGTCAAAGCATTCCTGAAAGCTACTTTTTATGACATCTTTACAGGATCTTGTTGCTACAATTTTCCTCTATGCTACTGATTGAAATCTACTATTCTTCAACTTTGTTTTCATTTTGGGGAAAGGATGATAGTCTTTGAGAACAACATCAAAGGACACAAAAGTTGAGGAAGCATTGTTATGTTCTTTCTTGGTTATATATTTATTAACCAGAAATGACCAATGCAAACTAAATGTTTCTATATTCAGTTTCCATAGGTGATGAAAGCTCTCAAAAACATCACAAAAATAGCTTTCAGAACTGCTTTGACAAGTGGTGCAAAATTTGTAGTAGTAGAAATTTGTAGATGCAAAAGATACATACTTTTAAAGTAGTTTTCTATAAATATCTGTTCTATTAATGTAATAAAAGTTATTTTTATCATCTGAGATATTAAACATCAAGAGAATAAAGTCATATTTTTATTTATTTTGTTATGACATTCATTATCTTGAAATGTTATTGGAAAATATATAATATCTGTTATTAAATACAATTCCTCAAATAACAAATTCATCAAATGGATTAAATTTATCATAATAATTATGCAATTGTTATTCAGGAACTATTTTAGAAAATGTACATCATAATATTGTCCAGGTTTATTATTATTTAAAATACAGTAATTTGCTTATGGTTATGTTAAATCATTCTACTATTTAAGCAACAGCAACATATTTTAACGTAATTAAACCAAGTTGTTAAATGCCACTTAAAATTAATAATGTAAGGTCTGGTAAAATTACTAATAAATTAGATTTAAATTTCTATATAATTTCAATAATTATACTTCTACAATTAAAATGTAACTGAAACTATGAAATGCTTGTCTCATAGATTAGGAGACAAATGAATAATCTAATAAGCAAGTACAAAAACAATAAACAATTAAAAATATATCACATTTCTTCTATTCTAGGATCAATTAAAACTTTAAAGAACATAAAAATCACAACAACATAGATATATCTATAAAATTACCCACACCTTTGATTTTGAATGAAATACTAAAATAAAAGAATGCATTATGAATATTTACAATTTGCTATATTATTTATATGCTCTTCGATATACATAAAATACATTTTTGTTTCAATGCTGCATCATATTTTTGAAATATTAAATGGGAATTTAAATCCAAATTTTAGTTGAATTCAATTCTTACAGCATATTGATGCACATAAATGAAATGACTCTCAGATAAACTTATATGAGGATGTAAANTTTTAACAGTTAAATAATAATAATTATAATAATAAAACAGAAACATTTTTAAAATAGATTATTATATCCCATTATTAATAAATGTTTCATGATATAATAAATTCTTCGGCTTGAACAATATATATATTTTTTTCAACTCTTTTGTTGAACATTACCCTTATTTTTCATTAAAAGTGAAAAAATGGATTGGTCACAAGATCATTTATATATATTGGATCTGCATAGCAGATATAATATTAAGAGGCACTAGATTTATAAATGCTGATAAATTGCAACAAATTTCTTTTTCAAACACTCTAACAAAAGTATAGTATATTCTATACAGGGAAACACTATCCTCTGGGGAAACTATTTTGCTAACGTAGCAGGAAATATTCATTGCCATTTAACTAAGAAAACAAAACAAAATGATCCTTACTGATAGCTGATTTAGCCATGTCTGCTATGCAGACTGCTACATATTGATATGAAATGCATACTTGACAATCATCAAATTATTCTTCTTTCATGAATGAAAGTTGGCAAGTTCATTTTATAATTCCAACTTAAATGATAAAATATCAATGTTTTTCCTTCCATGGAATTCCTGTAAGAGTGTTTTTAACTTATTAAATCAATCTTGTATTAAAACTAGTTCATTTCTTTGTCAACTGTAGATGATTGGGTGCATCTGCAAACATAAATTTAAGTCTATAAGCTTCTGCCACAAGAAGACTCATTTCTTCGTTACCCCAGTGTAACGTTGGTAGATTCTGAAGTGTTAGCATTAAACCCTAAAATAAAAATATTTATCTGTTTAAAACTTTGTTAAATGTTTTTGTTAAACATAAATTTTAGTCATAATATGTGATTTATGTATGTTTATATAAATACATAATATTAACAGAAACAATTATTTTATTATTAGTAATTGTATATTTTGTTTGTAGCTATTTTGTAAATATACAAAATAAAAAATATAAATAATAAATACATACAGTAATTTATTAAATACTTAAGCCAGAGATAGCTTAATCATTAAGTAATAACTTATGGGCTACTTGTATAGCTTCATCCTTAAGCCAATACAGGTATACCTCGCCTTACGTTAGTAATTGGTTCCAAGAGAACGACATAAGTCGAATTTACTTGTCTCCGAATCTACTTGCCACTAGGCTAAACCATAAATTACCAATTCCCGTTCTGTATTTTATTTATTAATGCATTTTTAATAATATATGGTTAATAAGGATCTATTTTAAGCTTACAAACAAATAAATTTTAGTTTTTAATATAGTACAGAAAAAAGTAATTTAAATTTATGAATGCATGTACTGTAAATACAGTATATACTTGTAAATGTATATATTATAATATGATTTTATGTGCTTTAAACATTTTTCTAGTGATATTACGACTTCAATATTTGTGGCGGACAGACGTAAAGTCGAATAAAATGACTTAAACTTGATTTTTATTTTTCCATATACTTTCTTGACAAACAACTTATAATCGGGAACGACGTAACTCAAAACGACGTAAGTCGAGGTATACCTGTATTATATTTTTAAAGATACATTAAGAAACAGCAATTTAACCTTTATTAAATGCAATAACTAATAACAATAATTCTATGTTATATTTTCTACTATTTTATGTGGAATATATAATTTTCAAGTTAAATCATATTATGATGCTTTATCACTTTTCTTTTTTTGCACTTCCATCTACCTAAATATACATCATAGAAAAACTTTATAAATTATCATATGACATTTTATACATATTCTTTTATATTTTATCTATAAACATTTTCCCAACATATATTTTTCTTGTTATAAAACTTCAGGATATAGATTATTCTTAAATTAGAAATGATAAACTTAAATGTTATTTCAGAAGTTTTAATTAAATATTTAAAACAACAGTGTTTTCAGTTTGATCAAGGAACAAATTTGGAAGAGCCAAGTATAAAATGATTAAGTTAAAATAGCAATTTAAATGTAAAAGAAATATATGTATATATATGTACTGTACGTTTAAGGTAATTCTAAAGTAACAATTATTTATTTAATTTTCATTTCAGAAATACTTTAATAGTTCATTTTTATTGAAAAAGTTGAAAAATCAAACTAAATAACTAATATTGTTATCAAGTAATAATTTCACAATAATAAAAACATGTTTTATGAAATCATAATCATAATTTCAATTATAAAATTATTGTATCAGCAGTAAACGCTATCGATAGCTTTAGTGCGTGGTGTAAAATAAATTTTAATTAATATTTATTATTCTTTTAGTAACATTATAAACACAAAAACTAGTTTTTAAAATAGTTTAAAGAAAGAATGTTTTATAAATATAGATGACAAACTGACAACTTTTTCAAATTCATAAATTTTAAATTCGTTATCAAGAAATGCCTGTTATCTCTGTGACAACAGTTTCAACTGAACAGATTTCTTCTAAAAGTTTTTTAAACATTTATTTGTGTACATGAGGTCAAAATACATTTTGATGTATATGACGTGTATTCTATTTTTAAATATATATAAAGCATATGATTAAAACATGTATAACAATATATATGTATTTACACATATATACATTTGTTATACATTTGGGTGGTGCCGTGGTGCTTAAAATAGGGAAAAATAAATCGCTTACTTTTTTGTGGTCCTATCCTCCAGAACTATTCCAACTGATCTCAAATTACTACAGAAGAAATTTAAACTTGATATATTAAAATTTAGAGGTAGCTCAATGACCACAAAGTTTATAAAAAGAGCGATTTATGACAAATGAAAACATACAAGATCTGTTTTGTTAAACTAGACTTGTTTCACTTTTGGACAATTAAAGACAAATTAAATAGTCATGTAGACTCTTCAATATTCAAAAACTTGATGGATTACAAACCAAAATGCAACGAAAAAATTTTTAAACATATTATAATTCACAAAATTTGAAATTTTCAGTACTACGTTCGATGTAACTTTATCAGTTTATTTTGGTAGAGACAGAGAGTGTTTCTTGCTGTCTAGATAATCTGCCTCCAACTGCCTTACTAGTTACTCTATCTTTTTTACAGCTTGCATCTTTTTCTTCAGTATCTGTGCTTCTGCTTGAGGATATTAGGTCCGCTATTTCTTCACCGTGAACTTCTCTTCAAGTCTTCCATTCTACGTTTTCTGTTAAGCATCTATTCTGTCTTTGTGCTGATCATTTCTCCTCTGCAGCTAATTTTGCCTCCACACCTACCATTGACCCTTTAGGTCCTTTCTCACGCTGAGCTAACAAGAACGCATGATCCTCTGGAATTTTATCATTTCGACTGCTTTAAAATGAGAAATGTCAAAAAGTTCATCTAGTTTACAAACAAATTCAGCCTCATTTGTATGCTGTGTTACAGATTGTCGCCCCTTGTTTTTCTTTAGCAAACGNTATTCATATTATATATTTTTAAAAACTGAAATATTTCAAATTCATTTATCATCATCATATGGTCTTAAAATTTCATGTTTAAGAAAATATAGAACTTTCAGCATATTAATTTTTAAACTGAGATAAATTTGCTTTAATATTTTCATACTTATTTGATAATGAATAATGTAATAAAATGTTGCAAAGTGGGTATATTTTTAATTTCAAATTAATATCACTAAATAAATTATTCTGATCTGATCATCCAATTAACTTATCATTAATTTTTTTAACAATTTAAGAAAATATACTATTAAATAGCATTTCAAAAATCTGCCTCTTTTCAATATAGCAATATTCTGTAAGGATTTTTTGTTACATTTTTTAAACAACTTCAAAATTTTACTTACTTCCTGTACAATTTCCTGCTGAAATAATGGAACCAAAGGACTCATTCTTGGAACATCAATATGAATCTTAGAATAAAGAAAAATCAATATTTACAATACTCTTTCAAGACAAATATATAATAATACTATATACTATATAATTTCAAAAATCCTTCATAAGATATAGTTATTGACTTATATAATGTTTACACTAATTTGAAATTTTAATTAAAAATATTTGATAAATTTATAAACTAGAACAGTCCTGAAAGATAAATGTTAGAAATTGAATTTTTGATATCAAAAAGATAGTGAACATTTTTTTAAAATCAGAAGATTTTAATATTCAAAAACTCATTAAAATAATTTGTCAATAAAATATTTCAGCAACAAAGATATTACAAAACTATTAACATGTAAACATTTCCTACTACAACAGTTTTTATATAAAATTTTAAAAGTAAAAATTCTAATTGTTCTGCATTATATTATTTCTATAATTTTTCAGATATATGTATTATGAAAAAAGGAAAATGCTGAAGTATCATTATTAATATTTAAAATGAAAAAAGATCCTAAATATTTATAAAGCAACTTTATATGTATGGGAACCTGGACTTTTGTTATATTAAAAAGTTTTTGAGAGCAATTTATATCATACCAATTTAAATTCTAGTTTTTCATTCCAAGACAAAAATTTGATTTTTATTCCTAAACTGAATTTTGACATTTATCCAAGCATTATTAGTCATCTAAAACAGTTCTGCCAACCCATAATCATATAATTGATTATTGTCATTTGATAACAGTCAACTATTACCTGAGAACATCTCATTTTACATGTTCTCAATGCCGAAAGTGATGCTTTCCTGCAACCTTTTGTCTTCCCAGTTGTATACTACCAACTTTAATAAAACATTTTGAGCAGACTTTGTCTTCAATTTTATTAAATAATAATCTCCATCAGACAAAAATTTACAGATGAAAATTCTATATGTATCATCACCAGGGGCAGCTTTCTTAAAATCTACATTTTCCAGCACCTGTTTCTAGTAGATAAAAGCAATAACACCCCAAAAAAAGGTATGGATGGATGCAAGCAAGACATCTGTATGTAACCAGTTCCTTTTTTAGAAATTACTTGTAATTTTAATTGGATATATTTTGTGTTTTTTTAAAAGGACTTTTTTTAACTTCTGATGACAAGTAGCCTACAAAGAAAGGTCAGTCACCAAAAATGACAGAGAAAATAAATGGTGGTACTTTTTGGGCAGATTTTGTCTTCAATTTTATTAAATAATAATCTCCATCGGATGAAAATTTACAGGTTTAATATAACAATCAACAGTCCATTGAGGCAGTTGACACCCATTCCTCTGATGGTTACAGTCATCACCTGGTCCTCTAACAGATGCAGTCGCTAAATGGATTTATTAAGTGCCTCTTATTTGGATTAACGTCATTGTTGAAACAGAACACTTAATTGCCTCTTAATAGGCCTAACTTCATCACCAAAACCCAGGACAATTCTAGATTTCACCTCTACTTCCAGGAAAGGGAAGTTACCACATCTACTAGCAGACCAACTAAACTTCAGGTATTTACATCTACATGCAATATCATGTAAACTCTCTCTCTCACACAACCATCTACAGTGTATAAGTCAGTTATTTCAACATGGTACAATGTACATATATCATGTAATTCCTTTTTTCTTTTCAAATAAAGTTATTAGTTGTCAATTGGCATCTGAGTGATTCACTTCCAACTCACTGTCTCTCAGACCTCCTCCATCCCGAATCTGATCATCTACACACACAACCACTTGCAAGACCTAGCAACAACAACAACATGAATGTTAAACAAAAACAGCCCTAGTTGTTGTGCGGGTATCTTCTATCCTAATGTAGTCATTGCTGAAGCAAAGTCAACTCTTCGATCAAGTAGTGCAGAAGTCTAGTTTAAAGTTAAAATGTTTAATACTTTTCATTAATACAATTAAATTTACTATCCAAATAAATTATTTTTCTTAAATTTCTTTATTAAATTTTTCATTTTTTATTTATTTAAAATTATTTTTGTTATTATGTTCACTAGCTAACATCTTGTTATACTTGACAAAAAGAATACAATGAATGAATCAAAAATATTTATTATTTCAATAAATACAAGTAGCTGAACAACAGTTATTATTAGTTATTTGAAAACTGAAATATTTTCAAAGTAATGAAGAGGATGGGTCCCCAAAATAGCCAATATTGACTTCTAGGCATCATTAAGGCATTTTCAGAATTAAAAATTAGTTGAAGGTCAATTAAACATCATTGATGTAGTCTAATGGGTTATGTATATGACAGTTCTGGATATTGTAAATTTGTGTGTACTAAACAGATATTTCCTATGAAAACAACATGTGGATTAATTCTGGCTCACCAGATATATTACTATTATTACTGTATTAGCAAAAAAGGGGAGGTTAATAAAAAGTTGAGGATATATATATATTTTAAGAAAATAATCTTTTATAATAATTATGCTAAAATAAACAGTATTTCATTAAATTATTGATATAATGATTTTATAATTATATTAAAGATTAATAGATACTTTCATAAACTTATCATATATAGAAAATTAGTAAAACATGGCAGGATATTTCATTATATCTTTAAAAGAATCAAATGTTTCATTGTTGTTAGTACTTGTGTCATAGAGTATTCCTAATAAGTTTAATATAGGAAAATACAAACCAAGAGTATCTATCATTTATGGTTTGTAACATCAGTAATTCTAGAAATTTAATACAATAAAGATTAAATACAAAAAACAAAAATTCAAAACAACACAATGTCATGAAATTGAGAATTAATTCAAGCAGATAATGTAATTATTTAATTTCATTTTTACAAGCAAGTGTAAATATTTTAAAACTTTAATAAAAAGGCATTAAAAATCAAAGTTTATGATGTATTATTATTATTATTATTATGTGAATGAAAAATATTTACAATAATAAATGAGAGAAAAATGCTTTTATTTTTGTGTGCGTAAATGCATTCTTGATAATTTGTTATAGCAATATATGTTGTTATTAATTAATTGTATCTAAAGTTCTAGATTAGAGTCATGAACAATAAAATATTAACAAAATGATTACATTACAGATTCCTTTATGTTTCATACTTTTATATTTTTTTTATTGCTTTACAGAATTTGAATCAGCTTGTCAAAAACTGATCAAATTCTATATTCTTAGAATAATTGTCCATTTGTGAAAGAATCTACAAATTGAATAAATTAAATAATATTTATTTATTACCTGGAGGAACAACTTCTTGTAAAAAGACAACGAAAAATGGCGTTACAAGATCATTCATCCCTTGAACATAACCACTGGCAGGATGACGAATGGCCCAAATGTATAATACACGTTCAAACGCCTAAAAATACATAAAAAGGTAATAATTGCAATTTATGTTTTGTAATTAATAAAAAGTATTATAATAATTTTGTTAAGAAAATATACTGTTTCATTCAAAAGTTATAAAAAAGCTTCTTGTTATACTTTAATACCTGCTCTTTTCTTCAAATTCAAGACAACAAATAGCATAAACATTCACTAGCTTATCTTGCTCATTTTCAATATCTTTGCCAACATAATGCTCACATTTATATCTCTGAGCAAATTTATAAATAAGTCTTTGAAACTCAAAACTTTTACATTGAAGATTTAGCACAAAAAAAACTGCTTTACATCTTTGTGAACAATACTTATATATCCATTTCACTTTCCCTATAAATGCATTATTACATTTTACACAGTGTGATGTACCAGTTGGCATGCAATTTTCTGCTAAGCCTAATTACTAAAGCCAAAAGTTTTTGGGCCTAAAATCGCCAATTTTTTGCCTTAAATTCGCCAAAAAAATTTGCCAGTTATTTATTTCAAAAACAAGTTAAAACGAACTACACTTAGATATTTCAAATAATTCTCACTTAAACTATGATGTTGATTGCTCAATATCGATGAATATAATGAGAATGAACATTCAACGTTGACTGCAACTAAAGGAGCGTACTCACTATTAACTTTATCACTTAAATTCATATCAAAAGACGTAAATTTGATAAGATCAGGATTACTTGACAAAACTTTTTTCAAGTTTTGAGAAAATATAAAATAACCAGAAACAATTTCTTTTACATTTTCAATTAGTTCGGCTTGTTTAGTTACACTGAGTCCTTGTTCTTCCAGTGATATTATAATATTTGATAGCTTGACGAGATTACGGAGATCAAATAATTCTTTCTTGAGGTTAACTTTCTTCTCTTGTAACAGTTTCACCAAAACATTTCTAGCATTTGAATGAGATTTTTGTTTATAGTTCAAAATGAAGCTCTCAACAGTATCAAAATTATCAACATAGTACTTTGCTGTGTTTAACCAAGACCCTCAGCAAGTGACAATTGGTTCTGGAGGAAGATTACTAACTTCAGTTGCATTCTTAAAATAATTTTGTCTTTCTCTTGACTTCACGTCTTCATTTCTGATATAAGTGAATTTGTTAATTTGTACTCATTCTGAATCCTAAATGCAATGTTATGTACGTGAGTGAGACACATGACATGATGTACATTTGGAAAAAATCAATGAATTTTTCATCATGTATTATGCTCGATCTGTCACTATTAACTTCAGTTTTGAATATTTTAAATCATTTGGCCACAATTTTCTAGACATGTTGAGTATACATTCTTGTATTATAATGCCAACTGTTGAGCGAAATGTCACATCAATTAACATTGATTTTGCTTTCTCGCCATTCAATTTTCCTACAAGTACGTTGACCACTTTATTTTGCACTTTGTCACTAGTTTTGTCAACAACGAAATAGACATCATGTCCACTAATTTCATCTTTAATTTTTTCTGTTACTGAGTTGAAGATAGTTTTTTGATGTGCCCACAGTGCTAAAAAAATAAATAATGCAATGAGACTTCAAATAAAATCATATTTCAGTTAAATTATGAGCACAATTGCAAACAGCAGCATCAATTTCAATAAAATAAACATTTCATTAAAATAACTAATTACAATAAAAAATACCTGGAACACTTTTGATCGGCTTCTTCATATATTTCTCGAGAAACAATCTCAGTTTTTCTTTATTTAATTTTTCAAGCGGAATATCTGCACTGGTGAATGCTTCAACCATTTCTTTATCAAAAGTGCTTCCATTTTCAAACAACAGTGTTTGTGACTGTAGCATGTTATGTTTCTTGTGTTTTGCACTGTTGAGATGTTCCAAAAGTCGTTTCTTAATTGTATCACATTCTTAGTTGACATGTGTAGAGCACTTAACACAGAGAATTGTTTTTTTGGTACAGCGAAATATATTGCCACCTAATTCCTTAATCACGGAATCAATTTTAAACTCAATTGACTGTTTTCTAGACATTTTTGTATAAAGCACATGGGAAACTGACAATTTCGCCACCTATTGCCAAATTCGCCTATTAGGGTGAAAATCGGTGATTTTCACCCTAACTGGCAAATTTGATGATAGACACTTTCATAAGAGACATATACAAAAATGCTAAAAATTTATCTCTATTATAATTTTATGGACTACATATTTTAAATTTCTTATCTAATTACACACTATATGCAAATAAAATAGTCACAAATATACATATAATTCATCCTTTGGAGTAATGAATTTATAGTTAGTTTTGCCGGCAAATTAGTACTGATTGAAAGATGCTCATTCCAGGCAAATATAGCTGAGAAATTCGCCAAAAGTGAAAATTTTTGGCTCTACTAATTACCCTTCATCTGCAAAGGAAGAGATTAACACAAAATATGCTCAAAATAAGCAGGATATTCAAACACAAAACACACCGATACAGAGGTTATGCTCAAAAAAAATGAAATGAACATTTCTAAAAATTAGGTTTAGGAAAATTCAAAAATTACCTTAAAACTGATCAAACAAATTTGTTCAGATAGCATAAATGTAAATTAATACAACTGGTTTGGAGCTAACAGAAATAATAATTATTAAAGTAAATAAAAAAGTAATCAAAGAATGACCTGAAGTTCGTTACAAAACTGATTAATTATAAATGGAAACAACTACATCTGCAAAGAAGCCAAAATTTCTCAAAATCAGCCAGGTAAATATATGACTAATATATAAATATTCATAATACAAAACTTATCATTTATTATATTATAAATTTTTTTGGTTTCACAGCGAATTTATTTAAAAAAAATAGACTATGAGAAAAAAAAAAACAAACTTTAGGTGACAGCTTAATCATTTCTTGTGGGGAAATTGGTCAAAATATAGTACAAACNTATATTTCTGTTATTTTTTTTTACATATAAGATGATTTTTACCTGAAAATCTTTTTCTTGGAGTAAATCCTTTGACCAATGAGTCAAAAATGCAGCACACACATACAAATGAAAAGTGGAGAAACCATTCGTTTCTGACTGTAAGAAAATAAATCAATTTATATTTTATAAGATGTAAATAAAACTGAATTATATTTATAGAGAACAAAATATAATTTTACAATATTTAATAATATCTAAAAAAGATGATCTAATCAGATCTGAAAAAAATGCAAAAGCTTCTGTCAATCCATGAGAATATATTTCTTTAAAATTTTTATGATTTAATTTTTTCCAGTATTTTTCTTTTTCATTGTAAAATCTTTGATAGATGTTACAATGAACTGTTATATATCAAAATAATCAAACTGTTCATCAAGATGAGCTATAAAATGTCATTAAATGTTTAAGGCCTAAAATTATCAGCAGCACTTGTACTTCTTATAGCAGTTTAAAATGTTTATACAGGTTGTTCTAAAGTAACACACCAGAAGATATTTCCATATAGAGCCCTGCCATAGGAAAAAAGTAATTTATGGTGTAAATAATTGTCATAACTCAATGCATGTAACTATACCAGAAATATCTAGTACAAAATGTATTTACATAAAATAATGAAAAGAAATGTTTTTGATGATTTTTAAATTGGCTGAAGATGATAATTTAAAAATCATCAAAAACATTTGTTTTCATTATTTTTTGTAAATACATTTTGTACTGACATTACTGGTATATAGTTATGTGCATTGAACCCAGTTTTATGTAGTACTTAGTTGTCATAACCTGTAATCATCAGGATATACTGTAAAATTAATTATTACTATTTAATGAACGTAAAACTTAAAAAAACTATAGTATTTAACAATTTTATTATGGTTTGACACACTAACTAATATTAGTTTGTGTGTTGTAATAATAATTAACTTAAGGTATAACTTGTTCCCGACAGCACCATATACAGTGCATAGATTTTAAAAGATTTTTAAAAGTACTTTTCTAAAACTTTTAAGGTTATACTTATTATACTTTTTATATGTTTAATGGTACATACATGTTATGTATGGAAGCAGACTCTGGTGAATTACTTTTGAACAACCCTATATATATATATAAAAACATTTTGAACTACTTTAAGTAACAGCAACATTGTGATTCATTAATGTCTAACTGTGTAAATTTTAATAAACAAAATTAAAACATTTAAAAAAAAATGTAATAAGAAATATTTGATATTTAAATTTACCAAATAAGTGTCCCAAAGACGAATTGTACACCGCAATGGAAGTTCTCTCATTAAAAGATTATTCATCCATCGAAATGAAAATTGTAAATATTCTACAGAATGTCGATGAAGATGTTCATGAAGTGGAGCTAATAAACATAATCAAGTATTTGATGAAATTGTCAAAAATAAAGTACAGTAATAGCCTAAACTTACGTGATAGGTGGGACCGAGTGATAACCACGTAAGTCAAATTCGCGCAAGTTAGGGTATAATTTCGCAATTTGTATAAAATCCAAGTCAAATGTATGTAAGCTAATAAATGTTCTCGTTAATCTTATCTTGTCTTTTGATTCATTCACAGTTACAAGAAATTATCACATAGAATCTCTCAAGTCTCCATAGATATAACAAACACAGAAATAAATAACACAAAATAAATTGTAGCTATGCGTCGATTCTGCACGACGCGTCCGAACATATAAGCTGAACAATAGTGTGAGGGGAGTGAGTAATCAAGAGTTGCTTGGCACTCAAACAAAAGACGAATCGACGAGATTTGAAAATTACGTAACTCCGGGTTCACGTAAGTCGGGGTAGCGTAAGTCAAGGTATTACTGTACTGAATTATAATTTGAAATTTCAAAATATAACAAAAGAATTCATGAATATTATTTGAAATAAACATTAAAACAAAAAATTTTTTAAAATTTAAATTGACTTCAGTACAAAACAAGCTATTTAAATACTTTATAATACAAAATATTTGAAATAACTACTTAATTATTCTATAAAAGAAAAAAAATGTAACTCAATAGAGATTCTAAATGTATATATTGTTAATTTAGAAATTTATTCAATTATACACAGTGGAGAAAAAAATAAACTTAAGTTTTGGCACAGATTTTATTACACAAACTCTTACACTACACTACTTTCAAAATATTGTAACTGTACACTTCTGCCAGTATCTGTAACACCTGTCAAAGCATTCCTGAAAGCTACTTTTTATGACATCTTTACAGGATCTTGTTGCTACAATTTTCCTCTATGCTACTGATTGAAATCTACTATTCTTCAACTTTGTTTTCATTTTGGGGAAAGGATGATAGTCTTTGAGAACAACATCAAAGGACACAAAAGTTGAGGAAGCATTGTTATGTTCTTTCTTGGTTATATATTTATTAACCAGAAATGACCAATGCAAACTAAATGTTTCTATATTCAGTTTCCATAGGTGATGAAAGCTCTCAAAAACATCACAAAAATAGCTTTCAGAACTGCTTTGACAAGTGGTGCAAAATTTGTAGTAGTAGAAATTTGTAGATGCAAAAGATACATACTTTTAAAGTAGTTTTCTATAAATATCTGTTCTATTAATGTAATAAAAGTTATTTTTATCATCTGAGATATTAAACATCAAGAGAATAAAGTCATATTTTTATTTATTTTGTTATGACATTCATTATCTTGAAATGTTATTGGAAAATATATAATATCTGTTATTAAATACAATTCCTCAAATAACAAATTCATCAAATGGATTAAATTTATCATAATAATTATGCAATTGTTATTCAGGAACTATTTTAGAAAATGTACATCATAATATTGTCCAGGTTTATTATTATTTAAAATACAGTAATTTGCTTATGGTTATGTTAAATCATTCTACTATTTAAGCAACAGCAACATATTTTAACGTAATTAAACCAAGTTGTTAAATGCCACTTAAAATTAATAATGTAAGGTCTGGTAAAATTACTAATAAATTAGATTTAAATTTCTATATAATTTCAATAATTATACTTCTACAATTAAAATGTAACTGAAACTATGAAATGCTTGTCTCATAGATTAGGAGACAAATGAATAATCTAATAAGCAAGTACAAAAACAATAAACAATTAAAAATATATCACATTTCTTCTATTCTAGGATCAATTAAAACTTTAAAGAACATAAAAATCACAACAACATAGATATATCTATAAAATTACCCACACCTTTGATTTTGAATGAAATACTAAAATAAAAGAATGCATTATGAATATTTACAATTTGCTATATTATTTATATGCTCTTCGATATACATAAAATACATTTTTGTTTCAATGCTGCATCATATTTTTGAAATATTAAATGGGAATTTAAATCCAAATTTTAGTTGAATTCAATTCTTACAGCATATTGATGCACATAAATGAAATGACTCTCAGATAAACTTATATGAGGATGTAAAGGTAATGACAACTACACTATAACTCGTTCTGTGAAGTTATCAATTGACATATTTCTCTTGATATAAATATATCTTGATTTCAGAAACATTAAAATGTGACAGTAATGTGTACATTAGAATTGAAGATATATAGTAATTACTTAGAAATGAAATACTACATTAAAATTATTTTTACTAGAAGTTTTTCAATATTTTAATTAAAATCAGTACAAAAACAATCTGTTAATTTTTTACAAAGATTTAAAATAGCATTTTAATTGATATTAACTTACCATCTATTCTTTGGGTCAATTCTTTTAGAAGATTCACTTTACTTTGTATTCCAGGCTGGGCAAATGTATAATTGTCTTGAATACCATCTAGTAATTTTGACATACACCAAAAACTATCTGCTTCAATTTCTTGAAGTTTATCTCTAGACAATTCAGAAACATCATATTCTTCAACTTCAGTATCTATAAAATATTAAAAGTATAATAAAAAAAAATACATAAATATATATAGATTCATTAATGTC